AAAAAAAAAAAAAAAGAACACAGCAATCCCAATTTCTGTGATTTAGTTCTGATAATTCTAAAATTTTTAGTACCTTTCAGAATATCACACTTTCTGATAATTAATGTCCATCAAATAATCTAATAATATTGTTAATCTTTGGCATGGCATACTATATCTTCAGTAGTGTCAGCCACCTCTATAGGGTGGTCTTAAGACTGGTTTAGACAGTACGATTTTCACCTACAACTATCGTATACATCACACTCGCGTCTGTTGCAGGCAAGTTGTAGGCTTGATTTACACGCTATGACTACAGTCGTAGGATGGCGCCAGCGTGTTGTATACGATAGTTGTAGGCGAACATCGTACCATCTAAACCGGCCTTTAGCGTGTATTTATTGTTAAATTATTTTGGGGGGGACAAACCGTCACTGTTTTAATGTGGTATGGTGTTTTTGCACTCAAGGTTTTTCTTGGAGGTATAGATTTTGTTGTGAGTTCAGGATATTTTCCTCTTAAATTATGCAAGAGGAGGAAATCCTTCATAGAAAATTAACTGTAAGTGAATGAAAATATGCTAGCTGAACTCTTAAATGGCTTCTATGTTGAAGCATAATATTGTGATTGGATGGTTTGAGTCTTGGTGGGTTTTGATTGGCTCAGACAGAAAACCATTTGAGAGTCGCGATACAGCACATTTTTCATTCACCACAAACATGCCGAGCAACACTATAGAATTATCCTCTTCATCCTGTTTGATAAATGTACACTTCCATTGTTATGCCTCATTCTATGAAGAGTTCTGACAACTGAATAACCAGGGTAATCTATAATTATTCCTTGTTCTAGTATCACACGTCATATTTTAAAGTAGAAGGCCAGTTACAGAGCTCCCATCTTTATTCTCATACTGGCTGGCCAGTTAAAGATGAAGCTGGAATAGATGGGAGTTCTTAAGCATTTCTATTCTTCTCCCAGTATATTTCTTAAGCTTTGATGTTCATGAATGGACTAAGCTAAGAAAATGTTGTGTGCTATTACATGTAAGATTTTYATAAAACTCAATTTAACAAAATGAAATTCCTCTTTCTGAGCAAGATTGGTAAAAATCAAAACTCAAAATGAATATACTTATTTGGCTTCCCTTCCTCTTTCAAAGCATGTGTCATTCTCTTGAGAAACTTTTTTTTTTCCACAAAGCTTAAGAAGTTGTGTTATTATGGATGACTGAAACGACAAATGACACATGGGTAAAGTGGAACAACATGGCCAAGCTGAAAAACGTCATTTCCTGTTGCAGTTTCAAAATGCTGAAAGACAAAATTCTTCCATCACCCCTCACCCCCAGAGTTAATTTTGGCACCTATTTATCTATCTCTGCAATTTAGAAAGAGGAAATCGAATTTTGGTCTTGGTATAGCCTGGTTAAAGTTAAAACCTTATTTTCCCTTCCAATGCGACTTTCATGTATTCAAGGTCAGAAACCAAAATTTTTGTGTAGTATCCTAACAAACTCTCCTAAGTTATTGTATTAAGAAGATGCTTTGGTATCGTTAGAAGAAGCATTAAAACAATGATATCTATGTGGTTTTAACTTATATTATTATCATAATGTATTCTCCTATGCAGCCGCTAAGGTTGAGGGGGAAATGGGTCGAGTTGGCTTTGCAGTGCATTTTGGGGCTGTTTTAGGGGACGAAATATTGCCATCTTGGACACGGTGTACAGTAATAGGACGTTTGCATGATGGCGTCATTTGACTCCCACTACCATAATGCTTCACGAATTTTCTTTTTTTTTTCTTTTTTTCTTTAAATTTGTATTCCCTCATGGCAATATTGAGACAATTGGTGCTATTAACTGAACCTAGACATGGATGATTATTGTGGTCACGCATTGCTTTCTCCTCGTAGTAGCTATTTGACGTAGCTGGTGTTGCGTCACGCCACTAATAGCGTCTCAGTGTGTGTTTTCTTGTTCTACTGGAAGCTGTAAGGCCTGGTCTAAATCAGCACTCCGGAGGGTTGAATGAATGGGTATGATAAGAAGTACTTCACTGTTGTTCTATATTGTAAAGGCTGAGTTAATGGTGATATGTCCACAAAAAGCCCTATGGAACGTTGGCGCTCGCAATTCCTCATTCTATGCGACAAAAGTCCGACGAGAATCAAAATAGGCACAATGATGGATGACATGCCGTTTCGGTTATGCCATCCAACATGGCGCCCATGCATAATCTTTCCTGATATTCACCAAAGGGATGCCATGTCTTTTAGTGGTGCAGAACAGAGGACGTATTCCTTAGATTAAAAATGTAACCATCAACAAACCTGAAAGAAATCTCCAAAAATTCAAAGGCCTATTATGAACACGTTATATTAGAGATTTTAATTTGTTGTACAAGTCCTTCCTTGACCCGCTAAAAACAATTATAAGGAAATGTATGGCCAGAAAACATCTTTTTTGACCATCCGCCCCCACCCTCCAACCCCCGCTTCAATATTTACTGCAAAACAAGATTTTCTTGACCGTATTCGATAGTGCTTCGATTTTGGATAAGTGAAATAAAGGTACAAAAGAGGGAATTTGGATTTTTCACTGACCACCTTGCAAGGCTCACTGTGCAAAATCCAACAAGAAAGATGGCAGACAAGGGGATAGGAGCTTCACCAAACCAAGACTTAATCCTCTTTCGTTTCGCTGGTTATCAGCAAACTATTTATCTAAAATGGCATCATAGACGACCAAAGTGTTTGAAACTTTTTAATTTAACTCTTTGACTGATGTACAGCCTGAGGGCTATGTCAAGTGCAAATAATTTTTATCCTAAGTTGAGAAAATCAGCTAGTGTTTAGAGAAGAAACGGTAAAATACAGTCATTTTAAATACAGTCATTTGACTGACATTTTTTGTATGCCATCCAATAGCTATACATCATATGACACTTAAGCCTTTGATCATCTGTCAACCAGAGATCGCGTTTGGCTGGTGACACACAAAGGACCTTGTGAAGAGCTTTTGTGACAATGATTGGCATATTAACACCTCAATGGTTTTGTTAGCAAACACGATGAAGTATCGCTATATTTGTTTTTTCTTCTGCAGAATTCTCGATACTGATTGGCTGAGCTTGGCATTCTTGGCGTGCTTTCATGCAAAGGCGTGGTAAACTTTCAAAATGGCTGACAAACTGGAAAATAACTTCAGTCTCAAGCTTGTTCAAGCTTACATCGAGATAGATTCCGACGCAGGACCTCCCCGTGTAGACTTCCATCGAAATCCTTCCAGCCAACCACGTGACCAGGGTACGGGAACTCCTTACAGACACGTGACATCTGCGCAATAACGTCAGCGCTCAAAACGGTATCCCAGAGATAGACATGAGTCAACTCGCCAGCAAAGGACTGCAGAATATCAAAGCCTCCTCCCATGGTGTCTTGGTCCTGTCCGAGCACGATTTTTCCTCCGGCAGCGATATTGGTGTTAAGAGAAATGCTTGCTTTGTTTAAAGTTAGGACTCCGTCAATGAAGACTTGCGCATGCCCAGTCACACTTTCCCACGTGGCAGCCACGTGATGCCATGCGTTATCGTCAAGGCTTCGTACTTGACCATCACTAGAAAAGCAACAATCCACTGATTAAAACCGTGAAAGGAATGTCAAAAGGTGCTGATCAACTTTATGTTGCATTCAGCATGTTGCACGCCGCTTACCAAGCTTGAAATTATTATATTCATATATATACATGTAGTGTGGGAAAATTCCATATTTATCTGAACTTTGGCTTATTGAATCGGACATTCTTTTATAGTACATTTTAGACAAAACCTTCACCAACCTTTTATGAAATAGCTGTATATGAACAATAATGATGTTTGCGCCGAAGCTAGGCCACATTGCATCAGGAGAACCTACATGCACTGAGTCGATGTAATGCATGATTCCGAAAATATATTCTATCTGTACGTGTATTAGGTGTGTTTCATTCGATTTTTATGAATCATTACATCAACTACTTGCTACATAGGATTTCCCACAATGCGTCATGTTCATACTACCGAAAAGCTTTGCCCAATCCCCGTGCAAATATTCAGTGCCCAATTTCGTGCCCAATTTAACCCTCCATGCCACTTGCTTCTGCCAAGAGCTATGGCAGCATACATAGATAGTTAACATGCATGGCCGCAATCTCTAGTTTCAAATGTTKACATAAATAAATGCATGTCTTACAGTTGGTTGTTGTTCACAAGAAATCTCAGAAACCCAGTTTCGTCTATAATGAGCAGAATCGCATTCATCTGAGACGGCACTGCATACGAAAAAGGCGCCAGTATCTTCTCGGTTGTTTTCAACCACAGGGAGACCGTAAAAGCACTCAAGGTTCCAATGGTTGTGTCAATTATTGCATAGTTAGTTGTGTTGCGTGTTGTAGGAAAGATGAGATCGAACGACGATGACATATCTGAAAGAAAAATACGCTTGCTAAGAGTATATATATAATATTATTAACACAGATTGGCTCAGTTGGTTGCGTCCAGTGAGCATCGGACTTTCGTGCGGAATGTTTTGGCTTTAATCCCCGGACGAACTAACACTCAGGTCTAAAAAATAACTGAGGAGAAGGTGCTGTCTTTGTAATAACAACGACGAATGGTTAGACCTTCACTTGACTCGTATTACTCACTTAAAATGGCGGTACGACCTTGCATTGTAGGGACGTAAAAGGATTCTAACCACTAAGGACGTAAAGAAACCCTGACAGTGAACACCCTCAGTGTCTGCGTCTATTAATTATCTACTAATATTAATTATCTATTATCTAATATATTGCGCATTTGATTATTACGCTATGAAGTCAAACTATATGACTAATATATATACTTATATGATTAATTCAATCCAAAGGTTAAATGGGCCGACGTACTGTCAGCTCACTATATCTTACTTCCGCCATTTGTCATATTGCAGTAAATCTCTGCGCTTTCGTTTCTTGCAGGGTCAGTGCGTATCCAGTACCAACCATCTCCGACAGAGTCTTCGTATTCAAGGATTTCTGCACAGGAGTTGGCAGCTAGTGCCTTTGTTTGGCCAAGACCATCTGGAAACGAAGGGGTAACTAATCAATACAATGTTTACTTCTTTGAAGAGAAACCAAGTGTAAGAAATTTGCTAGCTACGATATGTCTTCTGCAAAAATTAATGTGCTACATTCCCCCTAGCAATGTTGGTCTATGAAGTTTTCTAGCATATGAAGACTATTTAGCATGCAAGCTTTTTAAGTAAGAATGAGTGTATGTCAAAGTGATGCTGTCCAAGACCCTCTCGACTCTCGACTTAAGTCACGTACCATTCTTATTGCGCATTTTAACACAATCGTTCCTGTAGCGAGCCTGCGCATATACGTTTCTCTGCCTGGTCAGCACCGAAAATCGTACAGGGAGAAAAGTTGAAAAGGATGAGAACCATGTCAGGCCAAGAATGCAGGCGAACATGAATCCACACCACTAAAAGAATAAAGAATATTAAAATTGTTTCAAATACCTCTGTAACAGCTATGGAAGTACACAGTCACATCCCTAGGGACAAAGTTAGAAGGACGACTTTCCTTTGAATGGTTGTTCAGTTCACAGATCCTCTTGTCCGCGTGGAAGTTGAAACTCCTACATTGTGGTTCTTCTTCTTTGCAGGCCGAGTAGCACTGCAAGGGCTCTGGGGCGGAGAAATCCCTGTACACGTGACCAGTTAGCATGTAGCCAATAGCAGAAGAGGAGTTGCATTTAGCGTTTGTGGCGGCAGCATATAGGATCATGGTAAGCCACTTGATCATGAAAACTTTGACGGTAGAATTCATAATGACGTTGGGTGGGTTCCCTGTGGAATTATTTAATATTTGAGTGTTTGTTTGATGTTTGTTGTTAGACTCAGTAGCCTGGACAGGTGAAAGAATGCAAGCTATAAGACCTTCAAACGTCAACTATTTTTACGTCATTTATTCAACTGAACTGTTAATTATACCTGCTAAGTTTAAAAAAAAAATTCAAGTTAGGAATTCTATAAGGTATACTTTCATAAGTTTTCGCTTCATAACACGCGTTTATATCTGAAACCGCTCAAAAGTTTGAAAAACCGAGAGAATATGAAAATTTTTTGTACTTTGTCTTACGAATACCAGAGATTCCTTTTTTTAGTTAATTTTCTCTTGGAAAAAGTTAATGAAAAATGCGAGTGCGTTTACATTAAAATCATAATCTCTGCCCGCTACAACTAAGCTCAACGATTATTCTATATTTCATTTTCATAAAGTTTGAGGGTTTTTCCGAAAATGTCACGTATTGGTTACTGTGCGGACGTGCCTTGAAATCTTTGATTATACTGAAATCTTTGATGACAATCCTTAGGTAACTCCGCAGAAATTGTGTTTAAAAAATTTTTTTGTTGTCGAAATTTAAAAAAATCCTTTGCAGTGCAGTTTCAGACCATCATTTTTATATGGATGATAAATAACACACTGAATAAAGTTTTCGTAATTACGATTTGTTCAAAAGCTATATGTGGTTTATTCGGGGCATCTTACATTCCGTTATACATCATTCTGAGGAAATTATTCCATTTACTTAACCCTCTTGGTTAGAAGAATCGGAGATATCACGGCATAACTAACTAAGAAGCAAGGGAATTCAATTCAAAAAGACTTTGTAATAGTTATGTGCTATTAAGCATAGTTTGTGATAGTTTCGGTACTTACTTAGTGTCAGTAGTGATCAGTACCGAGCGAGTCCTGACTATATTCTTGTGTGGCGCGTTAGTTTCCTAGCTATATATGTTGGCGTTTTAGAACGTTAACCGCATAGTTAGGACACTAACATCTTATTGCAGAATATGAATTATTGATTATATCATCTATTCAAGGCCGATGTTTTTACGACAACGTTGATCTTGACAATCAAAAACTTTCTTGATCTACTATGGCGTTTTATTCAATCGTGCTATTCTATTGTATTTGGTTCAGTGGTCGCTATAGAAGCAAAGAATGACTGCTAAGGATATGGAACAGTCTTGAACTGAGGTGCCGATTTGGTTTGTAGAACAAAAAAAGCCCTAAAGAGCTTAGAAATATTAATTGAATAATGAAATAGCGCGGTGAGTAGCGAATTCAAATATTGGTGAAGAGTTAGGTAGGACAAGAAAGAAAGTACTGAGAATTGAAAGAAAGAATGAGAGGAAGTTAAGAAAGGAAGGAAGGAAGAAAGGAAAGGAGAAAAGAGTTAGAAAGAAGTAATACAGCGAGCTGTTTTAAACCTCATACAGATCTCACGCGAATATTGTATATTACTTTTAAAATGTATAGATTAATGCTTTCTTTTTAAGAGCAAAAATTTTAACATTATATCATTAAATGTAATTTGGCCGAGATATTTCAAAGTCAACCTTATGCAAATCAGGAAGAATTCTGTATCAGGGTTTACATATGACTTTACTGTAGTGATTTTGTATTGTTCTAAGGTGGCATTAATTATTCATGCATTTTTCAAAGTAAGAAAAAGAAGGTAAGAAAGAAATAAGAAGGAATGTGGGAAAGAAAGCTAAAAAGAAAGGAAGAATGAATGAACGATTGGAAAGAAAGAATGAATGAATGATTGGAAAGAAAGAAAGAAAGAAAGAAAAAAAGAAAGAAAGAAAGAAGGAAAGAAAGAAAGAAAGAAAAAAGAAGACGAAGAAGAAAAGGAAAATAACGAGGAGCCTGGTGACAAGCTTCCTCTAGGTCCCAGTTTCTCCAAAATACTCAGTCAGAACCCAAACGAGGCTTTACATTCAAAATGGCGAGTCCTCGTCGTCCACAGTTTTTGGCTTGTTTTAATGTTTGACTCCAAGTAACTGGGAATACTCCTCCTTTTTCAAATTAGAAATAATGGGGAACGCACCATCTGGTGCTATGAATGATAACGATGACGATGATGCCGATTTTTTGGAGGTAAGTCTTGTTCTCAGCTCGCAATTCTGCAACTGAAGCCAATCAAGAGGTGGCTCTTGATCGCTATTTAAAAAATTTATAATTCAATATCTTTTCTTTTCTTGCAACAGTTTAATAACTACTCTATTCTATACTTTTTATCAAAAATCTAAGCCTTTAGTCTTCGAATTTTTTCTGTGGACAACGAAACTAGAGTATTTAATATTTATGACTGGTAAAAAGTAAGCTGATTTTTACATTTTCGTCATATGATGCATAAGCTCAGTAGACTTTAGATTGGTCTTTTTATTAAATTATTTTAAACCAGTTATTAACATATATGTTTTAAGCCAAGATGTTGGTTTGTATTGGCTCTCTAAAACTACAAAATTGTCCAATTGTCTTACTATTCTCATGAGGAATACAAATTTAAATAAGAAAGAAAATTTGCAAAGCTCCTTTGTAGTGGGAGTCAAATGATGCCATCATGCAAATGTTCTATTGAATATCATTTCCATCATAATCTTTAATATTTTGTTATAACAAAATTTAAGGGAAATTATTAATTCATTCCCATCTCTCAACAGGAGGGAAAGGCTTCATTTTCACCTGGTTAGTAAATGGTTTGAAGTTGAAATAGAGCATGTACAAATTTAAAATCATTGTTGTATGTAATGTATTGTTAATGCCTGTTGTGGATCCCTTTATTAGATTCATTTGAAGGAGGGCTGGACATTAGTGTTCTTTTTGATCATGCATTATTAAGAGAAGCTGCTGGGAAAATCAAGTGAGTAACTGATAAAAATATTTCTTAATTGAATATGATGATGATGATGATGAGAACAATGACGGTAGTGATAATAATGACCTATGCAATGATGGCAGTGATGATGATGATGATGATGAGAACAATGATGGTAGTGATAATAATGACCTATGCAATNGGTAGTGATAATAATGACCTATGCAATGATGGCAGTGATGATGATGATGATGATGAGAACAATGATGGTAGTGATAATAATGACCTATGCAATTGTAACCAAGTTGAAAACTGGTTGATAACATACTGGTTGAAGATTTATTCGAGTTTGTTGCGTTAYGTTTGTACTAGCCATATTTGGAATGATGATGTAAGTGATCACGCAACAGTATTCGTAATTTGAAAAATAAATCAGTTCTGTTCCAGATTTTGTGCTGTTTAGTTGTGTTTTTGTTTAGTCCAAGTTTTAGTTTTAGTTTCACTTATTTTCCTGCGACCTATCTTGGAAAAGACCTGCAATGAGTTTCATCATCTTTGCCGTTCAACATCCACTTGGTCACACAATGATGGCAGTGATGATGATGATGATGATGAGAACAATGACGGTAGTGATAATAATGACCTATGCAATGATGGCAGTGATGATGATGATGATGATGACAACCATGATGGTATTGATGATGATGATGCTCGTATTAATGATGATGATGGTATTGATGATGATGATGATGGTAATGACGAAAGGTAATGATGACGATGATGATGGTATTGATGATGATGTTGGTGACAAATGATGGTAGTGATGGTGATAATTATAAGATTAACTGATTGTATTTCTGTTGGTTTTAGGGAAGAGGCCAATGAGGGTTTACTTCAGCAACACGTCAGTACTATCGTCAGATGGCTGGAGGAGAGAAGAGGACGCCATGATGTATGTTTATTACCACAGTTCCTAACTAAAGCAGTTTAATTTTCTTTCATCTCATTGCACTACTTAATGAGGGTTTTTGGATTATTAAATCTGGGCTGGTAAATTACTCTGCTGGGATACTTGATTTATAGACTTTCTAGCTTGTTGCCTAGTATCTAGTGAAACAGTTAGTGTGTAGCGATGTGGCAGTGCTATATTTGATAGTGCAACATTGAAACACTCCAATATTGCATGATTATTAGATTATTGGAAAAATTTAAAATGAATTAATTAAAAATCTTATTTTATATTTTCAAGGAGTACATCAGCTTGTCCCAGTTTACCGACATGTTGGTGGGCAGGGGAGCAAACAGAGAAGAATGTGTAGAAGTAAGTATTTGGGTTCCCTGTGGTATCATTTAGACAGTAAGTCTAGTAGTATAACTAGTTGTTGCAATGTGCAAGTGGAATGCTGTGAGTGCCATACAATGATGTAAAAGGGATGTATACCAATGTTAATAAGATATAAGTTACATTGCTGTTAAGCTGTTTCAATTTTTTAATATTAAAAAAAATTAATATGATTTTATTGCAGCTTTTTAATCAATTTGATGCCGAGGGCAATGGGCATGTTGTGGTAGAATATTTTCTGGAGGTAAGTTTTACCTTGTCACTATATATAATGTACCCATTTACTGAGTAGTGGATTGTTAAGTGCCATTATGAATCCGTATTCTGAATGGCTATGTCACTGTAGTATATTATTAGTGGCAGCTCATTCATAGAGAGTACCATTACATATCCTCATTCTGAATGGCTATGTCACTGTAGTATATTATTAGTGGCAGTTCATTCATAGAGACTACCATTACATATCCTCATTCTGAATGGCTATGTCACTGTAGTATATTATTAGTGGCAGCTCATTCATAGAGAGTTTGAACACTTATATATTGGCTTCTTCCAGACATTACAAGGGTTGCCAGGGGGGGCAGTGAGTGCCAAAGGTGACCTAAGAACATCAACCAAGTCATTACAATCCTGTTCGCTTACTCCAGGTTTGTGTACAATATTTATATGTACTTTATTTTTTTATGCTGCAGAGTCAGTATTTAGAGTACTTGCAAGAGTGTTCCTTTTTTGTAAGGGCTTTATTCCCTTAAGTATTTCTGAGATTATGATGGTGATGAGATGGTGATTATGATGATACAATGATGAGGTGCTGATAATGTTGATGGTGAAGATGATGATGGTAATGATGATAGCGATGTCAGATGATGTTGATGATATGTTGATGTTGTTGATGGTGATGATTATGATGTCGATGGTGATGATGATGATGATGATTGGTGATGATGATGATGATGGCAATGATGATGATGATGTCAGATAATGTTGATGATGATATGAGGTTGTTGTTGTTGATGATGATGATGATGATGAGAGTGATATCCCCACTTTCCACTTGTGATTTAAAAGAAAATTCTTGGCTCAATAATTTTTTCTTGACTAGGTTTTGTTGACGCTTTTGCTGAGAACTCTGAAACAGTTTTGAACCATGGACAGAAGCTCTTGAAGGTATCTTGAGTTATCAAATGTTATTGCAGCCATTGCTTTGTCAATAAGAGATTTTGGCACAAAACACAGACCCAAGTTCTTGACAATTATTTTGATTGCTTGCCGAAACCAAGCTAGTTCTTTAGTCATTTAAGTAGTATTAAGTATTAAGTAGTTTGTAAAGTGAGAAGACTTCTCACTTAGTAATGTTTCAAATACTAGTTGCTGTATTCTATTGGGGTTTCAAACCCCTATAGAATACAGTGATGAGTATTTGACACGACATCTTATACTCTTTTTGTTATGTTTGTTTTTATTTCAAAGTTCTAGTACTTGGAAATATTTCAAAGTCCGAGTAGTAGTACTAGAACTTTGAAATGGGTGCGGTCGTATTTGATGGGGGTTTCAAACTACTGCACGTGGTACAAATAAGAAACCCTGGTTGGTCGATGAGCTCATGAATAATTAATGAGTATAAGATTAAAGATTTAATTTTGCAAATTTTATCAACTTTGTAGCAACTTGTTCTGTTTTGTGACCTTGAACAAACTTAATTGTCAAAAACAATGTCAATTTTCTATAGTCAAAAACAATAAAACCCTATATTTCAATATGTCTGTATCACCTGAAAGCCTTGATAGTACTATCTGTAAATTTTTTTTTTTTAGTTTCTAATGAGAAATAGGTCCCAAAGTACATCCCTACCCATCCCTGCTTTGGATGGATTTTGTAACACTTCTGAAATGAGGCTTAAAGTTCTTCAAGCACATATTGAAGCATTCAAAGAAAAAGGTAAAGAAATGTGTTACTCATGAAAGACATATCATCAGTTTACCACTGTTTTATTGCTACTCAATGATTGAGACAAAGGTTAATGCGACAGGTTTGATGGCAACAGACCAATGTCAATCAAGTAAAGACTTCCCATCTTTCTTAAGTACTCTAATGATTATTTTTTGATTGATGGTAGTCTACTGCTCGATAACTTGTTGCATGAGTTCATGTCAATCAGCATCTTACAAATGGTAATGTTATGATACTGTAATCATGAACCACAGGTATTTTAGATGAGTTGCCTTTTAATTTCCTTATGTCACTATGATGTCACATCAAAACAATCTATTGTTTAAATGCAAAGGATCATGGTTGTCGAAGGGGGTCAAATCAACGCAAATTCACCGAAAATTGTTCTAAAACCTGTATCAATCCACCAAGAGAAGTAGAATAGCCAGCAAACTTACAGAATATTTTTAGTACATATTAACACGTACATGTATTATATCTGAAAACTAGGCCATTTTACAGTAGATTAAACTGTTTCGCCAGGAGCAAATGTTGTTGAATTTTCTATTGGATTTGGTGATTCTATCCCCCACATAAACAAGCAGTGACGTCATAGTGAAATAGGGCAATTAGTATGGAAACAACTGAAGTTTTTTGTCTGTTCTAAAGCTAGTTTTGTTTTCCAGTAAATCTAAGTAATAGATCACCATCAATAGAGGATGGTGAGATTCTCAAACCTTTGACAAAATGCTACATGGATATAGAAGTGTCATCAAATAAATCAGATGCAATGAGGTGAGTATACTGTATGCCCTACACTACCAGAAATGGCTGTCATAATTACCATCAGCATCATCATCATCATCATCAGCAGCACCATCATCATTATCATTATTGTCATCAGCATCATCAGATTTTCAGTATCAGTACAAGCATCAGTCATCATCAGTATCATCAATATTAAGTATCATCAGCATCACTAACAGCACCATAATCATCGTCTTCCATATCATTATAATTAGCAGCAGCAGCAACGACATGACACTACACTACGGGAAATGGGTTTTATCATCATCATCAGCATCATCATCATTGTCATCATCATCACCAGATTTTCAATCAGCACCAGCACCAGCATAATCATTATCATTCATATCATTGCAGCAGCAACATCAGCATCAACTTCATCATTATGATCATCATTAAGTAGCTATCAGCAGCAACAACATTACAGTGTATAATCATGATATCATCTGGATTGTCTTCATTCTAGAGTTGTCAATAATGATTCCAATAGCTATTGGCAGTCTGATGGTCCAGCCAGATCACACTGGGTTAGGTACGTTGACTACGTAATAAACATCAAATTCCCACCAACACGGCTAACCCTTTTCTGGGTTCTCTGGTCTATGATAAACCTACAGTACCTGGGTAGTGGTTCAGTTCTACTACCCCCTCCCCCTAGTTAGGGGATTTGCTATTGTTTTCATGGTACTATCCTAAAATGCCCCAGGGTAAATCTCCAGCCGCACCAGTTATTTTTTGTTCCAATGTAATATATATTATTTTTGCTTTTCAGGTTAAGGATGCGTCCAAATGTTGTTCTAAAGCAGCTGTCAATCAATGTTGCTTCAGCAGACCAGAGTTACATGCCTCAGCATGTTGTTATCATGGCAGGCAGAGATGAACAACACCTCAGAGAGATAGGAGATGTCAGAATACCAAGGTATTGACAAATCGATCATGATTCATGATAAATCTTACTAGATGTATGGGAATTTTTATTTCACTCCTCAATAACAGTTACCCAGATTTGATTCCCAGACTCAGTGTCATATATATCAGTAAAGTGATAGGGTTGGTTGTTGGCTCTCTTTTGTGCTTCAAGGGTTTTGCTTTATCCATTTTTTCATGGAGAATGACGCCCTCCAGAAACAGGTCCTTTTTGATAAATGATGGACAAAACCAAGTTCATACATCTGCTCAGAGGACGTTTCCCGGAGCAGTTGTGCCCTAAGGCGTGGGATGGGCCGAGAGGGAAAACCTGATGATGATGACACAAGAAAACAAATGTTTGCAATGATATGTTTTATATGCATTTGTCCAACTTTATCCAATCCAGAAAGTCACTTGTCTACTCTCTGTTGATCTTGTTCCCTCTCAAGTCGGCTTGACCCTTGACTCTCTCATCCATCCTTCCAGGTCACATCCTACAAACATTTTACACAATTTTTTAAAACATTCTAAAAACCCCAAAAAATCAATGTCAAAATTTCAATTTGGAATTTAATGAAAAAGGAGCCACAAATTCCCATTCTATTTTATATTTTCCCCCATAATTATTTATTTTGACAATCTTGAATCTCTTCCTTTGCAGCCACATCACTGGGGACTACACCTTAATAGAAAATGTCAAGACACCCTATCCTAGTAAGAAACATAATTATTAATTCAAGGTTCTGTTATCTCGCAGTAAACTATTGGTCTAAGGTTTCTTTCCGTTTAATTCTAGTTATTCAAATCAACATAAGACGTTGCCATAGTGATGGGTGTGATACCAGAGTTCGTGGCCTCAAGGCTATTGGATTCAGGTAAGATACCAATATTGATTTAAAGTGTTCAGTACAGTTAAGTAGAGGGGGTAGGGGGGTAGGTACGCAGGGAAGAGCCACCATGATTATTTTATTATACATAGTGTCTTGGAATAGTTCATGGTATTAAGTCCCTCTCTACCCTGATAACTTGAGTCTTTGCATTTTTCATTTCTTCAGGGTGTTAAGAAGCAAGGGTATGAGTGTAGGAGATGCATCAGCTGTGTGGTACCTCTCAATACTTGGTGCAACAGCACAAGCAGCGTTGCCACTTGCCCCTCACCTACGAGACACCCTTCTTGCTGTCACAAGGTTAGCTTGATATACAGTTAAAAATTTACAGGCTCAGGTTGTCTCAGTAAAGTAAGGAAGCACAAGTGGTGTAGCAGTAATGTGACCTGGGTTCAATTCCGAATAGAGTTGATCAATTTATTGATGATTTCTGGGCTTCGTGGGGTTTTCTCCGTGTTCTCCAATTTTTCTTCCTCCACAAAAATCAACTTCTTCAAATAATTTCAATTGGAATGAAGTGGAAGAAGAGTTTGTCTGTTGTTTTATCTATTTATTTTTTATTTTTATTCTTCAGGTCAGCTTTGAAGCACATGAGACCTCTTTCATTGTCACATAGCTCACCAGAAAGACCTTCATTCATGTCACAAAATGTGATGGATGAAGTTGAGAGCTTTCTACATTCTGTAGTAAGGTAAGGTTTTTCTTTGTCTTTTTAGGAGCACCAAGGGACCATCGTTATTCATGTCTACATAAGGGGGAGCTAGCAAGATTCACAACATATTTCATGATATCATATTGTTCCCCCATCATGTTCTCTCCTATCCAAAATAAAAATCCTTACACCCCACCCCCCCCCCCCCACCCACATTTCCGCGTGTTCTTGTAAAAAATTTCAAAAGACCCCCCATCTATCATAAATGTTTTTGACTCACCCCCCCTACTTTCTCAAAAATGTCAAAAACATACAAAGATTTTTTCCTTTGGATATTTATATGTAGTGAGCTAGCCAGCTAATAAAGAGGGGGGTTGCCAAATAATAATAATATTTTTTGTATGTATTGTATGTTTTTGACTAGCCCCCTATGAGTAAATCTTATGGCAACACCCTTCTCTTTTTATTAGCTCCTTAATAAGACATGGATAATGAACAGTCAGTCCCCAAAAATAAAATAATCTTTTGAGATTGAGGTCATGAAAAGATCCTTTTACATTAGTCACTTGTACATGTACATGGATTTAGATATTCAATACTTTTACTCAACATTTATGATGAATGTTATATTGTAGCTTTGGAGGCAGTATACACCCAGAAAGTTTAAAGATTCTTCTAGAATTCACATTAGCAAGAGGAAGTTTAAAAAGTATTTTAAAAGTTGTGAAACTTTTATATGGTAAGTTTATCAATTTTTGTTCAGTTGACTTTTTTAATGAGGAAACAAGAGAAACTTTCCTTGCTAGCAGAGTCTCTCTTCTCTTTCTCTGCCTTCTTTCAGGTGGGGAGGAAGAAGAATTTGCAGATGTAGAACGTTTCCTTTGATACACCGCCGTCCACAATGGTACACGAACAAAACCAGTTTTAAAATCGGTTTTTAACCGATTACATGTAGTGCGTATGAGCACATGTAACTCACTGTGGCGCCAAACATTGTTTGATAAGAGCAGCTGTCAAAATCATGACAGTGTTACGCCACACATGTGTGACAGAAATAACGTCCTACATCAGCAGAGTCCATCTTTCTCTCTCAACCAAAACAAAAGGAAAATAGGCTCTGCTAGAAGGGAAAAGAGAAGCAAAAAGGACTTAATTGTGAGATTTTGTTGTAAATTCTAATAAATTATAATGATATTGCCAGTGTCATAGCCTATATATATCAGTGATTTAAGTTGATATAAAAAATATTGGGGGATCTAGAGAGAGAAAATGTATATTATTATGACATTGCTATAGAGCTGTTAAGTGTGATGTAATTCGAACAAAAGATTACTTCCGGGTCCAAATTAATAATTACTTCGACAGACATTTTTCTGTTTTTTTCTCTTAATCACAGCAGGATTTTCTGTTCATGTATCTAATTGTTGAAGGTAGAGAATAAGTCTTGAGATTAAGCTGTGGCAAGATTTTAGAGATATTTGGTGTGATTGGACCCAGAAATATTTCACAACTTAAAACCCTATTGTCATAGCCTGATATTTAAGTGCTTTAAGGGACAGGGGGGGGGGATGGGGAACATTGGCAAATTGTCAATGGAGAGAAAGAAAAAAAATGTACATTTTTGAATGCATTCTTCATTTTTGTCTCTTTTTTCATTTCTTTGACATTTTTCTTTCGCATGAAGATGTAGCCTGAGCAGTACCAAATTTGTGAGCTCTGCTTCTTAATACAATATTACATGTGCTGTTAGTATTTCTAAAGAATACTACATGTATATTATTTAACATTTTTCCTCTAGATGTTTGTGATGAGGATTTTAATGCATTAGAAATTATACAATCACTTCAAGAAGTACAGTTCAGTGCTACAAGAATGCATGGTATGTGTGAAATGCCTCTCCAAATATTATAATTATAGTTTAAAGAAAACAATGATTGAATTGTACTAATAGGTCACATGACCCTACCTGACTTAAATGGTGCAGTGGTGTCGAAATAAACAGGTTCAATGAACAAAGTGATCTTGTGGTGCATACCATACAGTAGATCCCTTGCATGTGACGTCAAAGCAGCTCAATCTGGGGGACAAAACAAAAGAATTCCAATCTCCTGAGAATTGGAACCTACTGTTTTGTCCCCCAAATTGAGCTGCATTCCAAACTGCTGCAAGGGGTCTATAAGATTATCAGGGCTGAAGTTTGAGACAAAACCAGGAAACTTTGCCATCTTGTGTCTCCAATTTCAGCTGAACAATCTAATGCACCTTTACCATACTTCATGGTTATTGGAGTGTCAAATCAATTCCTTGGGGGCTGTGGGTGGGGAGCAGAGAGTCTGTTTCTGGGATGGAGAAGAGACATTAACCAACATCTTTGTTTAGGAACTCAATTGAAAATGTCACTTGTTTCTTGTGATGGAGGAGAAAAAGACAAAAATTCCAAACCAGAAAATGTACTGTCAGAAAACTGGACCAGTGAAGGTAAAATATGGTGTTAATGGTGTTTAAGCAATGTTTTGTAACAGATATAAAGGGATTAAGGGTAGCAGTAGCACACTTGCATCTCACCATCTCACCTGGATCTCCAGGTTTATTCCTGGACTTGGTATCACATGAGTAAAGTTTGTTGGCTCTCTCCCTTGATTACAGGGTTTTTTTCCAGCTTCTCTGGTTTTCCATGTTCTTTAAAATATGCTTAATTCCAATTTAAACTACAGCTGTATGAGGAAGCCATGCCTTGACTTAGATCATCCCTGAGGTTTTTCAGTATTCGATCTGTGAGTTAGTAATATCCTGTCTTACAGTAGATCAGCCCAGAGGCTGTTTCAGGGTTTGATTTATGAGTTTGTCATGCCCTGACTTAGATCAGCCCAGAGGTTGTTTCAGGGTTCGATCTGTGAGTTAGCCATGCCCTGACATAGGTCAGCCCAGAGGTTGTTTCAGGGTTTGATCTGTGAGTTAGCCATGCCCTGACTTAGATCAGCCCAGAGGTTGTTTCAGGGTTTGATCTTTGAGTTAGCCATGCCCTGACTTAGATCAGCCCAGGTTGTTTCAGGGTTCTATCTGTGAGTTAGCCATGCCCTTATGTAGATCAGCCCAGGTTGTTTCAGGGTTCTATCTATGAGATAGCCATGCCCTGACTTAGATCAGCCCAGAGGCTGTTACAGGGTTTGATCTGTGACTAAAACCAGTCTATGCATGTAGGTTGTTTCAGTGTTCGATGCTTTTTTGTTTGTTCTTAGCTTATTTGTCAGAAAATGGCAAGAAGCTGGTTAACATGACTTTCTCCTGTGCATCATCGAATCCCATCAAACTGACCAAGCTGGTTTTAAAGGTAAAATAACTAATACATATAATATAATACAGTATATGAAAATGATAATGTGCTTCTTTCCATAGGCCTTGATTTCCATAAACATGATGCATTGTAGTCTAGCTTTTGTAAAAACAACACTATATAAGGCATAATGAACAAGGATGACATTGGTATCCAAGCTAGACCACAATGCATCAGGTTTGCTATATGGGAAAAGTTTCATGTGAAAGTCCAGGAGTGGGCAAGGTTTGGAAAAGAGAATTACACATTAAGAACTGTTACCTTCAGTTGGTAGATTTTGATACCAGTTGATGTTCCCCATGGCAAACTTATGTGTTATTTATATGATATAATGGTAATATGTTTTTCCTACTTGCAGGTTTATAAAGGAGCAATTGGACCAAAAGCTGGCATTGTTTTTGTACTTAATGACTTTAAAAGGTCTGAAAACTTAAGCTCCACTTGATTTCATAAAATATTAATTTTTTGCCCTATTCTTCCTTCCCTGGGCCCAGTTGTATAAAGCTATCTTAAGATTAGAACACCCATAGGATTTGGTTTAGTATAATGGTTTAATGTTTTGGAACAATACTTACAGGTCCTCTTATCTAAAGACAGTATTATGTAACCCTTCCCTTGCTTTCCCCTTCACCTCTTCTTTCCCTCACCCTTCACAACTTAATGTAAAACTCCTTTGATCATTATATCCATATAGAAAGAGCGCTATATAAATCTTATAAATCATCAACACCCTTCAGATATGATATGACACACACACAGCTTAAACCTCCCTCTCCCCATGACTTTTCTGCCTTTACTCCTCTGACACCTCCCTCACATGACACACCCACCTTAATGTCCCACACCCCTGACCTCCTTAACTTCCTGACACTTATAATATAACACACGCACAGCTGAAACCTCCCTTCTCCCTCCTCCCTCTCCCCATGACTTTCCTGCCTTTACTCCTCTGACACCTCCCTGGCATGACACAACCACCTTAATGTCCCACGCCCCTGACCTCCTTAACTTCCTAACACTTATAATATGACACATTTTTCCCTGTTTTTCCTGAATGAGAGTTAATGACCTTCATGCTGTTGCCATCAGCTGGCCTCCATTCTTTAATAAAATACTAGCCCATAAATAAGCCATATGATTATAATTATGATTATCATTTTTCTAATTCAGGGATGAAAAAGACAAGGAGCCAAGTGATACAGATCTATTTAGTAAATACAATAATTGGACCAAAGCTGACTATACAGAGTTTTTAAAAAAGTAATCATTATAGACAAATAATCATGAAGTCAGAATTTCCTTATGTCCTTCCTTCCTTATTATTCTTTCTCTGCTTATGGTTTTTACTCTCCTTCATCCCCATCCCCATTGTCATCTTATCACTTGTCCCTCCTACCTCTCTGCTTCTCCTTAGTTTTCTCCAGCTTCTTGGCTTCATATTTTTTCATTCTTGCATTGGTATTTCTTCATTCTTTTATTTAATTCTTTCTATTCTTTTTCCTTCTCTTTCTGAATCTTCATGCCCTTCTCCATCACCTTTTCCATTTTCTGTTCTCTTTCTACTCCACAGACATGCTCTCAAGTCTCTTTTCCACTTTGCTCCATTTCCATCCATTTCATTTGTTCTGTTGGTGATAAAAATATCTCCATTAACTAAGTACTGTTTAAAAAACGAGTAGGAGTGTTTTATCGGGTATATAACACGATGCGCAGCCGAGTGGTTTTAGACCCGATAAAACACAGTCTGCGAGTTTATTAAACGGCTTAGAAAACTCATGATGTATGTTCTCATATTGTACAGAATACTTTACGAAATGAACCAAGTTTGATAGAGAAAATCCAAGTTAAAGTTTATGCAAATGATCAAAAAAAAACCTTCATGGTCATGATTCCTATTGTGTTTCCTTCATGAACTATTAATGAGTTTTCTAAAAACTATTCTTATTCTCTTCTCCCCATCCAGAGCATACAGGGTACCCAATAACCTAATACCCAGTTCTTTCTCCCTTTCATTTCAACAGCAAGTCTACTACAGATAAAAGTGAAGAGGAACCTGTTGCATTCTTCACTACAGAGTCAGACTGGTTTGTACCATCCTATCTTGACCTAAGTAAAGATAAAATCAATGATAGAGTGCAAACAATATATCTGTRAAACTTTAGCAATTCTAGATAGCACAATTTCATGCAAATTCCATTGTTTTCTATTGTTTAATTAGCACTATTTTGTACTATTTAGTAATTAGTGTTTTCCCCCTCCAGCTTCAGCTTTGCAGTGACATCATATGTCACTATTTCAGATCAACCGGATAACAGCTTAGTACATTATTTTAAAGGTTTTTTTATTATCAAATGATAGGGATGAAGTTGAAGTTACTGTGGACACTATTCTTACTGGAAAGGTTTGTAATTATAACTACTATCCTTCAGATCGTAACAGTGGCAAACTGAAGAGGGATGGCTAGATGCACCATAATATTGTTGAAAGCTTGTCAGTAGAGATGTTAAAAAATATTCAATAACATATTTCTGGTATTTGACATTATTATGCAACACTTGCAAAATGTTAGACTTTTTTATTACCTTGGGTGAAATGTATTCTCATTTCAGACGACATGTCATTCTCTTGAGAATAAGAATCTTTGTTTGAGTTGTATCCACATTTATATGTCTTCTCATGTGCAACCATTAAGGGAATGACACATGGCCTTGAGAATAAGATTCTTTGTTTGAGTTGTATCCATATTCATGTGCAAATGTGTGTCTTCTCATGCTTGTTCCTTAAACAAAAACAAAAAACTCTTAGGAATGAGAGTCACATGGTCTGAAATGGGAACATGAAGTTGGCCCAAGGTAAAGGGGTCTATTTACTTGAATATTCTTTGACTTCAGTACATCTTGATCAAGTTTCTTGGGCCTCGTAAAGAACCATCTGACAGGATAGGAGTGGTTGGTGTGCACTTCTTTGGCTATGAATTGAAGCCTGATTGCTCACTTAGTGTAGACTTAAAACTGGTTAGTGACCTCTAGATAAGCTATATAAATGTGTATTTGTAATCCTAGGAAATATCTCTTCTCAAATGGGAAGGGATTGGAATTTCCAGGGGGAGAATATGTGGAGGATATGTCGTGCAGTATCAAAAAAACAACTCTGACTACCTCTAAGACATGAAGGCATTGAAAGTTAAAGGGAAAGATTCTAAGGAGGGTACGATCTGCATAAAATATCTCTACCCCTATCCCCATGGCAAGTGGTAAATTATAGTATCTTGAGGTAGGGTGTGAGAAGGGTATGTTGTGCAGTACAAAAGAGAGGGGTTGGAATGTCAAAAATGGTTGGGAGTTTCCAAGGACAAGACAAGCAAAGACAATTGCAGCTATATTTACACCACAATTTAGTAAATAATAATATATTAGGTAGGTCGTCCGTGAAGGGTATATTAAGGCCACTTCTATTTACCCCACCATGGGGTAGAGAGGAAGGGGAAAATATCAGTCCCTTCTGGCTTTCTTTTTCAACTAGATAAAACGTTTGTTCTGTATTCCAGGACGAGCTAGCTCCTTTGCCAGAGTCCAACCCTATTGATGGCTCAGTACTTTTTCTCAGAATACTTGCTTTCCTGGATGAAATGGCCAAAGACCAGGTAAGAGATGGTAAAGTATGGTGTATATCGATTGAAAAATATTTTCCCTCACCTTTCCATGCAGTAGGTACCTTTCAAAACCCAAGAATAAATGATGAAATACGTTTTTTGGGCAATATTTCTTTCCACTTATCAATTGTTTATTTATACATATTTTTTTCAGGTGCTGGCAAAATCAAAGAGCAATAAACAAAGTACTCCAATGCGAGAGAAGGTAAAAGATACACATACACATTTTCCAAGGGCGGATCCAGGGGGAGGGTCGGGGGGGGTCGCGACCCCCCTGTCATTCCTGAGGTCAAATGGGCTTCTTGTGGTAAAAATGCGACTGGGATTCCTTTGCCCACAAAATTTATCCCTGAGACCCCCCTTCAAAAAAAACCCTGGATCTGCCCTTGTTTTCGATTGATGTTTCTTTGTGAAGATTAATAAAGATTTGTTTATTGTAATCAGGAAGGACAACTGGAAATATCCAGTGTTACTCTTGAACTGCTGTGGGATATCTATGGCCTAATAACTAGCAGGTAATATTGATGTTTTTTTTCAATTTAAACCCTTGATTATTATTTCTTTCTTCGTTTGTAACATTTAAAAAGAACAAATAAATGCATGAAAAATGGAGAACTTTTACTCCAGAGAAGTAAAAATATTGTTAGTTCTTTTGTTGTTGTTGCTACTGCTGATGTTGTTGAGGCTGATGTTGAGCTGTTGTTTAGGCGGTTCTTGCTGCTGTTGTTGTTGTTGCTGCTGCTGTTGTTGCTGCTGCTGCTGTTGTTGCTGCTGCTGCTGTTGTTGCTGCTGCTGTTGTTGTTGTTGTTGCTGCTGCTGTTGTTATTCCTGCTGTTGTTTTTGCTGCTGCCATTGTTGTTGCAGCTCTGTTGTTGCTGCTGTTGTTGTTGCTGTTGCGGTTGCTATTGTTTTTATCTAAAACAATTCAATTTTTTACTTTTTACAGAGGAATAAAACATCGTAAGATAATTGTCAGTAGTGTTCTGTTGTTGCGATTACTGTACCTGAGTCTACCACACCTAAAACCAATGAAGATGTTGACGTCAAAGAAAGAAAAAGAAAATGCAAGTGAAAAGGTAAACATCTATCACCCACTTTCAATATCCCACTCTCTGACTGTCCATATTTTTCCTGTCTGTATCTTTCTCTGATTCTTCAACTGTCTGACTATCAGTTTTCTAATACAACACTCCAAGTCGTGGCTCTTCGTGTGTCTCTAACAGATGATGTAGTATTTTTTGAAGCAGGAGGCTCTCCTAACAAAATAGGTGGCTGTTTCCTGCACTAAATTAGCAATGATTTTCCATTTGATCGTGAAATAGCCAGCAGTGTGAGGTGAAGTACCCAGCGATCAACCACCAATAGCTGCCTTCCATTGTTTGAAACCTCTGCACTAAACTTATTTCTTGACTTTTATAAAACAATAATTTCCTTTCAGCAACTCTTGTCATCGAAAGTGTTTACTCATTTGTGTGACATTGTTGACGATGATGGCACCTTGTTTACCAAAGAAATACAGCAGATATCCAAACAAATCATCCTTGAAGGTAAGTATTAAGCTCCTTAAAGCCCCGTTTACACTGGCGATTTTTGCTGCGATTTTTGTGGCAATTTTTGTGGCAATTTTTGGAAATATGAAATCTTTTGTCTCATCCTTAAAAAGAGACATTCGTCTAGGAAAATCTTGGTATCCTGAAAAAAACTTTACAAGTAAATTCTTTACCATTATTTATTATGGACAGGATCGCCGAAAAAATCGCAGCAAAAATCGCCGCAAACATCGCTAGTGTAAACGGGGCTTAACATAAAACTAAACTGAAAAAAGAAGACAAACTTGAAATACCAAGCCTATAAATCAATAGTCTCCTTTATAGAGCTCTGCTATTAGCATTGGTTGCGTATTGGAAGGATGTAAAGAACCACTGAGGACGTAAAAAAAACCTGGCAGTGAACTTAGTGAATACACCTCAAAATAACTTTAATAACTCTAATAATCTCTCATGATTGTTAATTGCATATAAAAACAAAATGAAAATTCACAACTCATCGTAAAGCACCTTTGGTTATATTTACACCTATTTCAATAAACGTTGTCCTGGCCAAAGGTGATAGGTGATAGATCATTCCGAGATGGAAATGGTTTTGTTGAATACGAAGAACATTGAGTCAGTCTCAACACTAAGGTCCATGTTCTTGACGAAAATAAGAAGCAGAAACACAAGACATTCCAGCTATTCTTGGATCTTGGAATAACGAATCTCGCCTGTAGCCTATAGCCTATCGCCTTTGACGATGACAACGTTCATTGAAACAGGTGTATATAGAAAGGACGCTATAAAAACCATAAATCATCATCATCATCATCATCATCATCATCATCACCATCATCTCCCTCCCTGATAACGGCTGTTAATGGGGAGTGCCCAGGGCCCGGTTGTACGAAACCTGGATAGCGCTATCCGACGGATAAATCGTATCCAGTGGATAAATTTATTGGATAACAGCATCGACTTATCCACTGGATAAGGATTTATCCGCCGGATAGCGCTATCCAGGCTTCGTACAACCGGGCCCAGGAGGATACCAATATCTGTCATGAGAAGAACAAAATCTAATCATTCCAATTTTCTTTGTTTTGCTATACAGGAGCGGAAGTGTTCTTTCCTGATACAGAGACAAGACGGAATCATCTACTGTCCATGGTTGATCAAGTGATGGGAGAAGGCAAGGCAGTGTCTTTAGCCATGACTTTTGAGTCGTTATGCAGGTTCTTCAGTAATAAGGATGCTAGTGGACTACTTGGATTACCTGACATTTTACCAGAAGTAAGTCTCTATCCGTCCATCCATTCATCCATCCATCCCTCTATCCGTCTCTATCCTTCCGTCCGTCCACCTACCCACCCACCCATCTATCCATCGATCTCTTTTTTTCTCAATATTTGTGTTTTTTYCCCAAAAGGGTTTCAACTGCACCCCTGTCATCTCCGTCATGACAACACTGCTGTCTGTTGCCTATCAAGAGGTGAGTACTTATCACATGAAACTGTGTATTGTAGATTATCTTTTTCATACAGCAGTTTCTTCAGCTACAAGACTGATATTCAAGGAAGTCAATGGTGCATATTTTACTTGCTCTCTGTCAGTGCTCCTTCAATACGGACATTCAAATTTAATTTTTATTCTGAAACAACTTCTGAGCTGATCTATGTTCGATACCCTAAAACAACCTCAGGGGTTATCTAAGTCGGGGCACAGCTAACTCACAGATCGAGCCCTGAAACAACCTCTGGGAAGATCAAAGTCACAGCACAGCTAATTCACAGATCGAATTTAGCATGTCCAAATCCAAATGTTTTATAAGATATTTTTTGTTCTTTCAGTGTATTGGAAGTTTGCAATCTGAAAGCAGTAAAACGAATCATTCAACGTCAAATTTGGTTCAATTGCTCTGTGCCATGCAGAAGAGTCTTCTTCTTTGGTGTTACACACAACTGAAGGATGCAGATAAGAACGGCAAGGAATCTGCTTTGACACTCGTTCAGGATTGTAAGTAGATCAGAGGGAAAGTATCGCAAAGCGATAGATATTTCCTGAATTCTCTTGAGTGACCATAAAACAATGAGTGCAAGGCGTGGTTGGAGTTGATGTAACATATATCAAACATGTGAAGGAGTGTTTTGTTCGATTTCTAAACACCGAGAAGTTAGTTGAAAAATCGAGGCAGAAATGACAAGTTGTCTGAAATAGGAAAACATCAGGCCCAGCTAAACATCAGCTACAAAGGTTTATTTTTACACCGTAAACATATTTTCTTAAGTCATTTTCTTTATTTTCCCCCCAGATACAGCTATTCTAGCCAACAAGGTTTGCAGTGCACTGCAAACAGTCAGTGGTTCAAAATGCAAGGTAAGATGACCACAACAGATGTTGCACTCTGCTTTCTTTAACAAACCATTTGGTGTCTGCTTGACATTTTACATAGTTACATTCCAGCCGTCCACATTAACTGAGTCCAGACATAATACTACATGACATGCATGACAAAACCTATGGGATAACGCTTCTTCTCTCGGCGTGACATAAGATAAACACATTGAAATCAAGTTTTGCTGAATAAGTACAGTGCAGTGAAAATTTAATTCAAGAATTCGAAAAGTTTAAAATCTCGAAATTTTAAAACTTTTGAAAACGAACTTTGGTCTCGGGTTCGTTTGCTAACACTATTGCACCTTTGCAAACCTTCAAATTTACCAAATATATTTAATTTTTGTGTAATTATTATTTTTTACTCTTTTCTACTCGAACAGATGACCGCCATTGATAGACTAGAACATTCCTTTGTAGCAGCAGCAACAAGACAGTTTGTAAGTCTGACACCATATTGTGGTTTGCTGTGTTACTTGCGAAATTCCTTCGTTTTTCAAACTTCAGTTCGCTTTACCTTCATTTAGTTGGATAACCATTCACCAAGTTTCACCACACATTATCCAGGGTTACTTGAATAAGAGATGCACCCTCAGATGAAGAAAACGCAACAAACAAAAATTGCCAGCCGAAATTTGCAAAAGGAAGGGTGACGTTAAAAGAAATTTTCTGACAGTCTAGAAAAGGCACTAAAAAAGTCCTTTTTTCACAAGGATTGGACTTAATAGCCAGTGGCTAACAAACCTGTGGCCCTCATTCCCTGATCGAATTGGAATTTAGGAGTTGATTTTTGCGGAGGGAGGAAAACCGGAGAACCCAGAAAACCCTCGAAGCACAGGAGAGAACCAACAAACAACTCTACTCATATACAACACCGAACCCGGCGGGACTCGAACTCGGGTCGCATTGATGAGAGGCGAGCGCTCACACCGCTACGCCACCAGTGCTTCCCAAAAGGCCATGGTTTTGTGACTGGACCTTTAACGACAGATTTTCTTTACTTTTTCCGTGGTTCTCCCTTCAGGTGTTGTTTCTTAACTTGTTTACTGGTATAGACGATATCTGTTTACACATGCTCAGAAGCCTCCATCCAATTATACTTGAACTGAAGAAACTCTCCACGGATCTACCAGATCTGTTCTTCAAGGTATGTTTTGTGGATGGTCTTAATAGTGAGGTGAAGTGTGCATAATTCGCTATTAAATTTGGACGCGTTATCGACATGAGGTAATTTTTCTGATAGTTTATATTTCTTGAGTTGAAAAAAAATGTTTTTCCAATTTGGTGACATTTTCCTAGGTGCCTACCCCACAGAGCGTCAATGCGCATTTTATGCTATATAATTTGCTTCTGTCTTATCTTGAGAGTTTAACCTCTATGCGTTCATGTGTCCCATCCCACCCCTCCTTTCCCCATGCCACCCTCCCCCCGTCCATGCGTCCAAATAGTCTGCTCCCACATTTACATCAAGAGTCAAAAACTTGTGTTTATGTTGGTGTTGCCATAGATCGATTCAGAGGAATGGAACAAAGCACAAGGAGAAACTGTATTACGAACATGGGATGAAGAGTCCAATCATGACTATGAGAATAACCAAGACATTTCTAAGGTAATATAACTTGTATTATACCACTGATACAAATACTGCGCTCACCTCCCCACTGCATTTTCGTTACCTGTAAAGCAGTGGCTAGTCACTGGTAAACGAGCTACGTCATAGGAGGCACTACATTGGATTAAAACCGTTTTCTTATTGACATACCTTTTTATTTTCTCAGGTGTTTAGCTGTCCTGGCTGTTCGGAATTCACTGTAGAGTTTGATCCCCAATGCGAAACAGAAAGGAAGTATGTAAATGCTAGTGTTTCTACACTTTCAGTTATGATAATAGATAGATAATTGTAGAGAGAGGGAGGGAAGGAGGGACGTATATAGGAAGGGAGGAAGGAGGGATAGGAATAGAGGGAAGGGAGGGGAGGAAGGGAGGAAGGGGGGGTAGGAATAAAGGAAAGGGAGGAGAGAAAGGGAGGAGGGAGCGAGAGGAACGGAATAAGGGGGAGGAATGGAGGGAGGAAAGAAAAGAAGAAGAGATGAGAAAGAGAAGTAAAGAGGGGGACAGAGATTCATGGACATACCCTTAAAGCCGTTGACTCCGTCATTCTTAATCTCCTTTGTTTTCTGCTCTAGGTATGACTATTTGGAGTTCACAGATTCAAACGGGAACAAGCGAAGGTTTGATCAGAAAGTTGGCACAGACAAGTGGCCATTGGTGTGTATATCAATCCTTGAGTATTTTGAATATTCTGACTTCTGCACACTCTTGTCAAAAGGGGAAAAATATTTGCACGACACTCATCTCACATTTACACTCCAAAAGTGTTTTTTTCCTGTGGTCTGATGTGATATGATTAGTAATTATGCTGTAAATTGTTTTAATTTGCAGAAAATTCAATTCAAAGCAGGTGATCGTCTGTTGTTCTATTTCCATTCTGATGGCAGCAACAGTGAATGGGGCTACAAGTTCAAGGTACCATATATATAAATTTTTAGAGTACTATTTTCAGGTATTGCACTGGAAGTTGTAAATCCAGGTCCTCAGACTCACGTAACTATTCAAATTGAGTCCCAAACATCGTGATGGGGTCCCAATCAATACTTCGGAAGCTCTTGTCAACACAAATAAAGTGGGTCCTAGACATCGTGTTGTGGGTGCCAATCGATATTGAAGCCCTTGCTAACATAAGACAAATGAATCATGAGACGAATTAAAATCATGAAAATACATTTATGCATTAAGATGCACGATTTCTGCTTCAACACGATCCTTTGGCATTAAAGTATGTTTTCATCAAGAACTGCGCTACGAGTTTCTTTTGATTCTTTTTTGTGATTTACGTTTTAGGTGACAGCGAAGGGATCTCCTGATATAGCCCTTTCTTGGATTTTTGATCTCCAACTTGGCATGGCAAGATTGTTCGGGGTTCTCTGTAGCGCTGCACTAGATTCTCGAAAAGGTACTATATTCGTAGTCAAATTACCTCCATCAGTTCAATACCAGTCACAGCAAACAAAATTTTTTTTCATAAATATAAATGGTCTTTTACTTTTTGTTTTAGCTTCACTTCCACCTTCCACCGCCGAGGTCGAGGAAGACGATTCCAAGCTCCTTCACAGTGAGATTTGGACCACACTGTTTCGTGGTGGATACATGACGGGCAAGCTACAACGATCACTGTCTGGACATTATGTAAGTAAAAAAGAGTAGAGTTTGTATTCAAGACTGGAAAATGGCAGGGCACGGTCACGGCACAGATTGGTAACATCCTTTGTACCAATCACGTCGCGGAATATCACTGATCATCAAATCAAGATACAGTCACGGTCACGGCACAGCGTCTCCGTAGCATGAGTTATGTACAAAATCTGTTCTTGATTGGTTTTTCCATATGAGTGGCATAAGTAACATTGAAATGGCTTTCCATTATTTTGTGCACTTCATCCAATGACAACACATAGTTAAGATAGTAAAATAGTTTGTGTTCAAATAGCTATACGGTGTTTTCTTCATCAGAGTACAAGTCCACCACAAGAGTCTGCAGTCAATTCATTCCTTCACAAGTTGATTGAAGGTGAAGATGCCACGGGAAATGAGCTTGTTAAATGGTATGTATGAGTTAATAATGTTGATGATGGTGGGTGGTTGATAGTGATGATGATTATGATGGTGATGATGATGATGATGTTGATCATTATAGAGATGATCATGGTGGTGGTGGTGATGATTGATTGAAATTATGATGGCGATGGTGGTAGTGGTAGTGATGACAGTGCTGTTGATTGATTGATGACGACGGTGACAGTGATCGTGGTGGTGATGGTGATAGCGATGGTGGTAGTAATGATTGATTGATTGATGATGATAATAATTTAATAATGTTTTTTAATTCCTTTCTGTTCAGCTGTCTGAAGCCTCATCCAGGTCCCTCCATGGGAGGTCTCTCGGTAGACAAGGCTGTAAACGCAGTGTTCGCTGCTCTAATTTGGCATTCTCAAGAACTCAGGGAACAAGTCGTTTTATATGGTATTGATAGTAGAATCTTGATAATAATCCTTCCTTCCTTCCTTCCTTCCTTCCTTCCTCAACAGTGGTCTTGAGGAGTCTTGCCCATTCCTTGACGAAACCCCAAAGTCATGACACCCCAAAGTATTCCAGTATTATTTGGGATTGATCATTTTCCTGTTTTCCAGCTAACAATACTCCTCCAGAATCGGTGCCATTGGGTATCCAAGAAGCGTACTCCATTGCCGAGTCACTACGAAGAACACTGGTAAGATACCAAAGCTAACGACCCAACTCTCGTCAAATCATTTAATCCTTCTTTAACAACGTTTTCATCCCCTCACAGGTTGATCGTCGTCAGAAGTTAATTCTTCAGTCTGAAGAAGAAGATCAGCAAGGAACTAGTGGATCCAAGACTGATCCAGATTCTCCTGGTTAGTGCTTTGATATTGCTGCTAAGCTGATAGCCTACGTTGCTTTGTGGCCTGCGGTTGTTGTTTTCCCTCCCCCTCCCCCTCCCCCTCCACCCTGCAGCTACAGCTGTAGACCATCAAGAAACAAAGGCTACTTAACTAATATCACAACTAGCTGGCAATAGACCAAAAGGAACGTGTGTCGTGGGAATGAAAGAAAATATACGAACGATGCTTGAGCCCTCGACCCCTTTGGTCTTCGCTGAGACTGACAAAGGACTCTGTGCCTATTGGTCGCACAGGACTATATCTTTGACTCACGTTAACCATGATTGTTCTTCAGTGACAAGCTGCAGAGAAAAGGCTCAGTTTCTTCTAAAGTTCGGTGGTCTTCAAAGGCTAACGGATAAATCAGAGGGAAGAGATAACAAGAGATCCAAGTGGTTAAGTAGGAAATCCTCCTGGCATAAATCTTCATCAAATGAAAACCTATCGGCTCCTATATCCATTAATAATGCAACCAGACAGGTGAGCAAATCAGTTACTCGTTGTCATCCTCATATTGTATCTACGCTCAATTGTTTCTATAGATTATTGAAAACCACCCTACTTCTTGGGAATGGATGTCAATTGGGACGTGAGCCCTGTTTCCTTTTCTAGTCACAACAGTTCTTTCTTTCTCAGTTATATGATTTATGTTTTGTAAAATTAATACAACAATTGTGACAAATAAACTAAACTAACTAAACTAAACTATGTCGCACCCGCAAAGTCGAAATTGGCCAAAACAAACAATAGTTTTCATCGTTGACTCGTTCTATTGTGTTGTTTATATTGTTTCTTGTTCTATCGTATTGATCTAATTGGGCTAAATCTTCTTAGCAAATAGACCTTGTGAGATACTAGTTGGGCTCCCTGTGGAAAAGCCTTACCTTCCTCGCCATTCTTTAGCCAAGGGTCGGCCAGTAGTTGAGAATGAAAATGAAAGGAAAAAAGGTTTAGGAATTGTTTGGGTCCCTTTGGAATAGCTTTTGGTCAGGAGAAAGAGAAGAGGAGTTTGAGCGTCTTTGGGGGGGGGGGGGGGGGGGGGGGGGGGGGCAAGTGGTTTTTAAATCGCAAGTTGAGGTGAATTTGTTTTTTCCTGCTTGATTTATTTGTGGTTTGTTTGGTTGTAGCGTGCTTTCTCTGTGGAGGAGATCAAGACCATCGACAAGCATCCTGCTTTTAAACTTATTATTGATTTTGTCACCAATGAATCATACTCCCACGAAAGGTGAATTAATATATTATCATTTATAACCAGTATCATTATCATCATCACCCACCACCACAATTATCATCATAACCACTATTATAAGACGTATTATCAACAATATGATCACAATACAAGATATATATCGTTGGCATCAGCAGCAGCACCATCGCCCACCTTCCTCACTCTGCAATCATCGTCATCATCAGCATCGTCATTGATTGCATTAGTATCATAATCATAAGATATCACACATCGTCGTCATCATCCTCGCCATTATTCTTACTTGGTTAGTATAGGAAATCGCACGATCTCGAGTACAATTCGGAATTTATAGGTACGAGTGATGTTTTGAAAGTTTTCAAAATTGGACGAGCTTTAGGCAAAACATCACGAGTATCTATAAGTTCAGAATTGTACGAGAAGATTGTGCGATGTTTTGTTTATAATGCACTCAATAAAATTAAGCAACTTAATTGGGACTCTACAGAGTACAATTTGGGAATTAATTGTATTCCTCTTGTCCAATCAGAATCAAGTAATTTTTTTGAGTGTATTATAATTATTCTAATTGTTCCTATTCTATACTCGTTACTTGCAGGATCCGTCGTCTTCTGCAGCAGCGCTACAAACATGCCAACACTGTAGCTGATATCTACTTGTTTGCTTCTGATTTTCTCAGAATCTCTTCTGAATCAGATGTGGTCCAGGTAATTTAACTCGATTTTATTGTACAGTCAACCCATGCCTTGCGCACTCCCTGATATTATGGCCACCATGCCTTGCGCACTTTTTGATATCATGGACACCTCGCTATTACGGAGAGGAGCAAACTCCCCGGCGAAAACTACTGGCAAAGACCCATGACCCGTAACTCTCGCTGTTGTGCACGCTCACTATTACGGACTGCAACAAGAGTTGACTGTATTTATCTGAATCATTTCAATTATATTTATTGTTTTTCATCGTTATTTTTCCCAGGCTCCCGCTGTTCTGTTCCTTCAGCAATTTCTCTCCATGCAGAAGTATTTTCCGAGGTAAGAGACCCTATTAACCTGGACGTAATATTTTCCCATTTAAGATCATGTGTCATTCCCAAAAACATCATTTCTTTGTTTAATGGTTGTGCATGAGGAGGCACATGAATATGGACACAACTTGAACACAGAATCTTATTCTCAAGATAAGGACATTTTCTATTGAATATCTTGATAGATGTGTTGATCATCACAGTGAATGAGCGATCTAAGCGAACGCTGTAAAGAAAGACTTGAAAAAATGATTTCAAGCTTCAACGGGAATCGAACCCATGACCTCCGGGATGCCGGTGCGATGCTATCTGATATCTTCTCGATGACCTGCCTGCCTTTTCATGCCACCATTTTTTTCTACATATACTAGCGTTTTTTGTTTTTTKTTTTTGCTTTAGGATAACTCAACTGGTCTTATTTGGGTCCCAAACATAGTGTTGTGGGTGCCAATCAATATTTAGGAAGCACAAGTGGTGTCCAAGCCCTTGGACACATTAAAGATTGCGGGGGGAAAAATCGCGGTCCTATTTTACATAAGAATGCTCGATTCTTGCATTAAATGCTCCCTGAGCTTTAAAACGACAGTTAATGCAATAAGCTGATAGGATGATCCATGCTCAATCCTTTGGCGCTAATCTTCTGATCTCGCCGACCTTATTTGCATCTATTTCTAACGATCATTTCTGTCGTATTTTCTAGTCATTACGCTGATAATCTGGATGGTTGTGGTCTAGCTCTAGAGGGGAAAGTACGCCGTGCCTACTACACTCTTGTTCGTAGAGGATTAGATGCTGTCAAGTCCTATTCCTCTCATACGACAGATTTAAAGTAAGGACCCTTAACTTCCAGTTATGATTTTAAAACAAAATACCGTAAAATTACAGATGTTGGTTTTTGCGGTCTGGGAAAACTGGAGAACCTGGAGAAAACTCACAAAGCGAAAAAATATGTATATACGTAAAGAAAATAAAGGAAAGAAAGAAAGGAACTCTGCTCATAAACGATAGAAAATCTGAAAATTGAACTAAAAACCTCCCCGTTGAGGTGGCACTTTAGCAGCGCAAGCCAACCGTGCTTGTTTCTAATCTGTTGATATATGTTTGTTTGTTTATCTACGACGCTCTCGCGCATTTTAAATTTGGGTCTTTTTTATACTTTTAAGGCAGTAGTATTTTCTTCTTAAGACGTGGAGGTATTTTGATAAAAACATATTTATTGTTTCAGAACAACTTCTGCTGCATTTGAATGCCTTCGTGCTTATGTTCTTCACCTGCTAGATACTGAGTGGAAGGTATGTAGCACTAGATTAATAACTCCTTCTATACTCCTTCTCTGACTTATGATAATGGCGCTGGTACTTGTGGTGAATGGTGATGTTCAATAATGAGAATTAAGTGAAAAGTAATTTGGTGATGGTGATGGTGATGTTGGTGATGATGATGATGATGATGATGATGATACTAATGATGATGATGATGATACTGGTGATGATGATGATGATACTAGTGATGATGATGATACTAGTGATGATGATGATGATGATGATACTAGTGATGATGATGATGATACTAGTGATGATGATGATGATACTAGTGATGATGATGATGATACTAGTGATGATGATGATGATGATACATGACTATGCCTACTGATGATGATGATGCTGATACTAGTGATGATGATGATGATGATACATGACTATGCCTACTGATGATGATGATGCTGATACTAGTGATGATGATGATAATGATACATGACTATGCCTACTGATGATGATGATGATACTAGTGATTATGATGATGATGATACATGACTATGCCTACTGATGATGATGATGATGATGATGATACATGACTATGCCTACTGATGATGATGATAATACTAGTGATTATGATGTTGATGATACATGATTATGCTGCTGCTGATGATGATACATGTTTTTGGTGATTGTGATAATGATGCTGATGATGCTGATGGTGATGATACATGTTTACGGTAGTGATGATTATGATGCATGATGATGGTAGTGATAACCATCATCATCTTTAATCACCATTTTTCACAGTTTAATATTATTTTTCACAGGCGTATGACTATGCCTTTATTGTCGATGTACACCTCCCAGAGTTTCTTCTCGATACTGCTAAATGTAAGTACCATTACTATACGCTGTACCCATAACAGCTGGTCTTGCTAAGATTAAGTGAAACTCTGGCCTTCGTAGCGATGTAAAACAAGGTTGGAATAAGAAACTAAGGGTGCCGTAGTGGTAGTTTCTTTGATTCTTCACCGTAAAATTTACAAAGAATGTATGGTTATGGGGGACAAGTGTAAATTTTCGACACTTTTGTAAGCCCATAATTCTGGTTCTTTTCGCCAAAACATGTTCAAATTTGCCAGACTTTCTCAAATGACAAAAGTTTCTTATAAAATTCAAAACTCGCCCCGGTCTCTTGCTCCTTTCTAAAGTGGCAAATACTCCCATTTCGAGTTCGCCTTTGCTCAGTAGCCCCGATTGTGTACAAATGTGGTCTCTTCTTTCATTAAGGTCCATTGTATAGTAAGGAATGTACGCATTACGGAACAATACGAGTTGATTAAAATACCTCGGGTTTTGGTTGAATAGCTGAATATTGCAACACACAAACGAAACTAAGACTGAGAAAAGAGAACTCGAAACTGGAGTATTGAGTAGAGTTTTAAGATTGTTAYTATTATTACAGCTACAGTGCAGATTCCCAAGATGGACATGAATGATTTGAGCGAGAAACAAGAGCTGGAACACTACGAGGACTGTATGAAGTGGTTCGAGGAGGCCAAGAATAGCTTTGACTCGTGGTGGCGTCGGATGCAAACACAAGAACTCAATCCTGAAGAGAAGAGGGTGAGTTGACTGAAACATTATAATACATTCCCTCCCCCCTAAGACGTTAGTATAGGAAATACAGAGCCTCTGTCCATTCCTTCTTCCATCTTTTACGCGCGATTTTTCTAATCTGTCATTTCTCTTTCATTTACTTCATTTTTTCATTTCTTTTCTCACTTCAGCAAATGCACCTGTTTGTCGCCGAGTTTTCGGACTGTCTTGACGTCACCATCACGTGTGACGGCTGCAGCTGTACGTTGCCAGGGCGACGGTTCCGTTGCTTGAACTGTCCAGACGTCGACTTGTGCAGCGCATGTTATCTAGGTAACGTAGAATAATACTTGACGTCAGTATGATACCAGCCGACTCTAGTATCTTCGACTTGTTAACGTTTTAGACTGAAGAATTCTTATTTTCTGCTCAAGAGTTGTGCCTTGTACACGTTTTTCTGTGCCTCAACGTTTATTATGTTTTCAGGGGGTATTATGCCTGAGGGTCACACAGAAGATCACCAAGTTGTTGACTTGAGGTATGAAATTACCTTTTTTTATATAAAACTAAAGGATGCAAGAGCTTCGTACCGAGACAATGATGATGATGGATGTTTGGTGCTACTAATGTTGATGATGGTGATGGTAACATTGATGATGATGTTGACGATGGTGGTGATGGTGGTGATGTTGATGACGAAGGTGGTGGAGATCTTGATGGTGGCGGTGATGATGATGGTAATGATGGTGATGGTGATGATGAAGATGGTGATTGAAGATGGTGGTGATGATGGTGATGATGATGGTGGTGATGATGGTTGTGATGTTGGTGATGATGGTGATGATGATGATTGTGATGATGAAGATGGTGATTATGATGGTGGTGATGATGGTTGTGATGTTGGTGATGATGGTGATGATGATGATTGTGATGATGAAGATGGTGATTAAAGATGGTGGTCATGATGGGGATGATGATGATAGTGGTGATGTTGATAGTGATGATGATGATAGTGATGATGATGGTGGTGATAATGGTGGTGATGATGTTGGTGATGTTGATGGTGAAGATGAACCGTTTATGGTAGTTATAATGAGGATATTTACCTTCCCAATCATATCATCCAGATACAAGTGTAACAACTGCAGATGTTTTATCGTTGGTACCCGATTCCACTGCAATGAATGTGAGGACTTTGATCTCTGTCTTGGATGCCAAATGTTCCTAAAATTTCCAGCCAGGTAAGGCATGGCAACATGGCCTGGACCATCACTAATGGTCATTAATGTTTATATATGCACAGACTAACTGTAGTCAGCTTCTGGAATAAACTAATTATTTATCCTATTTTCAGGCATCTGGCATCTCACAGGGTCACAAAATTTCCTTTCAAATCAGGTATATATTTTACAGTTTTTTACAGTAAATGAGGTTATGTTTTTGTAATATTGTGATTTATTCACTGCTGCTAAGCTAAGATAAACTTTGTTGCTATGATATAAGTTGTTGCTAGGATACATGCTGTTGCTAGGATACATGTTGCTTTTATAATGCTGCTATATGCTATTGCCATACTACTATTTACTGTTATATGCAGGGTTCGTGCTACTCCTTAAGCTCCTTGAAAACTCCTTGAATTTAATTCACGTTTTCAAGGGCACTTGAAAAGCTCTTGAATTTTACGATTTTAGGGAAACTCCTTGAAAACTCCTTGAATTTTTGCTTTGATCATTACTTTCATGGTTATGAAATAGATCTAGTCAGAAAGACTGGAAAATCTGAAAGGCGGCCATGTGCAACCACCGTGTAAAACCTTGGCATATTTAGCTGAACATACTCCTTGAAATTTCATTTTTGGGTCCTTGTATACTCCTTGAATAGTCCTTGAATTTTAAGTGGTTACCTCAGCACGAACCCTGTATATAGTTTGTTGCTATGATACGTGTTATTGCTAGGATACGTGTTGTTGCAAGGATACGTGTTGTTGCGAGGATACGTGTTGTTGCTATGATACGTGTCGTTGCTAGAATTCGTGTTGTTGCTAGGATACGTGTTATTGCTATGATACGTGTTCTTGCTAGGATACGTGTTATTGCTAGGATACGTGCTGTTGCTAGGATACGTGTTATTGCTAGGATACGTGTTCTTGCTAGGATACGTGTTCTTGCTAGGATACGTGTTATTGCTAGGATACGTGTTCTTGCTAGGATACGTGTTATTGCTAGGATACGTGTTGTTGCTAGGATAGGTATGGTTGCTATACGTTGTTGCCATGAACATTTTTATTATCATCTAAATCGTTACAGAATTTTTTTTCATTATCACGCAAATCGTTACCATGCCACATGTTCGTTACTATGGTACATTTTGTTATCATATACCGTTGCTAAGAGAGGTGTCGTTCTTTGTTGTGCTTGACAGATTCTTCCAGTAACCAGCCCACAGGATTGTCCCAGACCTACACCCATCACCACGCCTGGTTACAGTTTTCAGCCTTGGCATTATCCCTAGCTAACGCCTTAAACATTCCCGACAAGTCAGGTAAAGCATCTGATATAAGCCTTTAACAAAACAATAGACCCTTGCAGCACGTCGGATGCAGCTCAATTTGAAGGACATAACAATAGGTTCCAATTTTCAGGAGATTGAAATTCTTTTGTTTTGTCCTTCAAATTTAGCTTCTTGGACGTCACATGCAAGGGGTCTATTAGCGCTTTTACATTTACACATTTCTCCTGTCTCTATGTTGCGCGAGTTAAGCATTTTGTACAAGCCTTCAAAAAAAATGGCACAGATTTATTTACTGAATGTTTATCCGTAATTCACCTGTGTCTATGTTGTGTGAATGTGTATGTCGTTAATAGACGGATTTATAAAAGACGATGCGAACTTAGGGTGGTACGAGCAGTTTTCTTATCCGTGTGTGCGCCGCCATTTTAAAGGTTTTTCTTGCCCTTACGAGGACAGACGGCGCTCACACATATTTGCCAAATACCCGTCAATCATAGACGGCGCTCACACATATTTGCCAAATACCCGTCAATCACAGACGGCGCTCACACATACTTGCCAAATACCTGTCAATCACTAGCGCCGTCGCCACACTTCTGAAGAAATGAAGCATTAATTGGTGATATTAACTACTTTTGACATGAGATTGTAATTTGGGTTACAGCATTTGGTTTGGGTCTTAATGCTGAGTACATGCGTAATGCTGGCCAGCTACACACAGACTGCCTGGAACTTCTCAACAAGTGTCTTAAATATACACAACTTCCTACAGAAGGTAAGATTGGTCTCTAAGAAGTTATTCGGTGCTCCGGTTGTGGAATTGATCCCTTATCAAAATCTTAACAAGCAAGTGTTGCTTGGTCGGTCAGTGCATTGCTGTTGTTGTTGTAACCCCTAGCGATTATCAGAGCACTTTATTTTGTGAAAAGGAGCGGAATTTCTCCCTGGGAATTGTAACGAGTTTTACTGCAGTTGCCCTGCTGACTTTACGCACTTTTTTCGCGTCTCCCGAATTATTGTGTGTAAATACCTTAGTAGGGAACTTAGAGTCCTATTGTATTTAACACCTACCTTCGGGTGAATCTTTAAATAAAAATAAGTAAGCAAATAAAAATATTGCATTTTTAGTTTTTGTATCCTTAAAAGAGGAGGGAATAAATTATGATCGTCGATTCTTATTAAAGATTGATATGAGTTTTTTTAGTCCTAAATTGAAACCCATTTTGTAAGGAATTTGTCTCAAACGTAAAGAAAAAATACATTGCGCGCGATATACGAAGGAAATTATGTTATTCTGACTTTTTGCCAAGCGCAACGATAAAATTGGGTTAAGCTCTGAACTAGAGGCTTTTTTACTCCGACGAAGGACTAGCGTCCGAAACGTCAGTAAGTTTTTTCATCTTTTCACGGTGTATAATTTACCTTTTTATCATTGCTGTATAATAAACTTTATTTACACAATGTAGTCCCTTCAGTGTGAATGACAACCTATCAATCAATCTATCAATAGTATATTTAATCACGTATCGTCCAAGAGCTTATAAACCTCTACCTCTACAGCTTTATATATTGTTTTAATGCTCCTAATTTACAGCTAAGGAAGAAGCCAAGGCAACATCAACAGCATCAGAAGGCAAGACCACTGAAGCCAAGAATGTCGAGGAAGGCGCACTCTCTTCCTCTAGTGCTGAAGGTCTGGCCAAGTCTTCATCCTCGGAGGATTCCCTTGACAAGAAAGAAGCGTCACCCGCGACTGATGAACTTGAAGAGAAAACGTCTGCAGCACTTTCACAGACATCTGAAGGCTCCACGTGTGCAGGGGATGTAGCCCCATCTACGGAAGATGCTTCCTCTTCAAAAGAAGTTGTATCACCTTCAGACGATGTAGGTCCATCGAAGGAAGATGTTGGCTCACCTTCAGAGGTATCCGCCCCTTCAGAAGGCGGTGCAGCCCCATCCACAAGGGTTGTATCATCTTCGACAGTTGATATATCCTTGTCTTCAGAGGATACAACCCCTTCTAACCAAGATGCCGAAGCGTCGAGGTCCGATGAAACAGTGCTAATCGCAAAATATTCAGGCAGTTCCCTCAGCACAAAACCAAGTGAATGTTCTAGTTTGGAGACGATTAGCGAAGAAGAGGCCAAATCGACGAGAAAAGAAGAGACCGAAAAGGTGTTCGCTAAAGGAGCGCAAGAGAGGTTACTTGGCTTGTTAGGAGCACTGTTGCCACAGGACTCAAAGGTAAGAATATGGCGGGAAAATAGGGCTAAAGATTAAGAAGAAACTTTTTTTAAAAAACGTGCTTTAAAAAATAAGCCACAACAAGACAAGAGTGGATGGATTATATATCTAAATGCATGTGCATTCCTAGGTTTTATTAGTCCAAATTCAGTCAATGATTCTCTTATCTGCTTCTAATGGCGACGCAGCTCTGTTTGATCTTTGATGTTTTTCTTTCAGCTTTCCCACTGGTCAAATTACTGTATGGGTATAGAAGTCTTCCTGGCGGAGCGGCTCCTGCCTTCTTTGTACAATATTATCAGGTAAAGTGTTAACATGACCTAGTCATACCCGCCATGTGCTGCAGGGACACATGCATGCACTGCACTCTGTTCAACTACAAGGCATCTTACCAAGGCTGCTCCACACTGCGCTCTTTTCACCGCACCGTGGTCCGTACGATAGAGGGTTTTATAATTAGCCAACCCACGGCAAACTGCGCTCTATTTCATGTGATAGAGTATCTTAGCCACAATAATTGTTTGGATGAATAAATAAATCTTTTTCTTGTAGGAGTAGGTATTGTGATGTGGATACCAGGAGTCTAGCTATGGGTGTTCTAGCCAAGTATCTCAAGTGCATCAACCCAGAGGTATGATTGATTATCAGCCTGTGCGTCTTGAACAACCTTTCTTTTGTCAACAACAGCACTTAATATCCCTTCCCCTGATCTCAAGGACCTGTTGACGTTTTACTTATTTTATCCGTCCCCAGGTTTCCGACCGAGCTATTTTCATCGTTAATTCATCTGGCCAGGTTACTCGGAATGTGAAGACTCAAGAATCTATGGAAGACGCATCACGTGGTATACAAGAATCTGACAAAGTATCACGTGGCACGAGTACAGTCGAATTTCTCTTTTATCTTGGCGCTGAATATTTGGCGAGGTAGGAAGGGAACGTCTAGTTCTGGTCTAGTGGAAATTTTGCGTGACGGTGAAAGTCTCACAGAACGGACGAGTTGTACCGTTACCGTGACGGTACCGTGTGCAAGCATTTTGAATGGATAAGCAGTGATTGAACGCTTTGATTGGTTTAAAGAATATCGTCACTTCTGTACCATGTGCCGTATGTCGTGTGAAAACTAATCTAGTGCTGTATTTCAAATTCAAAAATAGTTAGGCCGCTTCAATTGACCAATCAAAAGCCAGGATTCTGACTCTGATTTCACAGAAGCAGGAAATGCACTTTAACCTTGACTTTGAAATCAGAAGCCATCAGAAGTCAGAAGCCATTTGAAAGTCGTAACTTGGAATGTTTAGCGCAAAATCTGCTCCAGTGTAGAAATATTTGCTACCCCAAAAAATGATTATAATTATTGCTAAGTTCATGATTGTGATATAAAAACAAGCCTTCGGTTGTATCTTTATATAGTTCTGACCTGGACGCAGCTTCGGGCATGGCTTCCACCCTGCAGCAGCTGACCAGTGTATCGCAGTGGCAACCCAGTGTTAGTACGCACATTGGTAAATTCATCCAGCGGTTAGCCTCAATTGCAGATGTAAGTAATTCAGTAACATTTGTGCAGTAACATTATATTATGGATGTTTCGACTGCACTGCGTAATCAGAGGGAGCTAGATGGAAGTGCACAGTTGAATGATAAATGTCATGAATAGAGCTTTTAAGTAATGACGTATTTCCGGTACCAACTAGTGACGCATTTCCGGCTCCGACTGCTTGCAAAACCCACTAAAATAAAGCGATAAATTTTCTACGTGATCTAACCTCGACCTAAAACAATTAGAACTGCTTTTCGTTTTGAACCTTGAAGTCGCTTTTTATACGATTGACGTAGCTTTATTGTATTTTTCTTGAATATATTTCAATATTTTCCCCCCAGACGATCGAGTTGAATGCTATATTTGGTCTGCTCGTGTTTGCGGGATTTCCAGACGTAAGTACTGAGAAGACCTTTTTTCACCCTTTCACACCCGTTCTCCATGGCATTGAGCGGCGTAAAGGGATTGGGGAACCGGAAAGTGAAACCCGGAGGGGTGATTCTCCCATTCTTCTGCACCACTGCTTAGGCTACCTCTTTTTCTTTCTGCCAACAATTTGCAATTGTTTCAATCTGTTCTCCAGGGCAGGGATTTCGGGGGCCGGTAAAATTGAAGCCAGAGTGGTGATTCCCAAGCCCTTTTGCACCACTGCTTAGGTTACCTCTTATTCACCATTTTCCTTTACAAGCCCTCCTCAATGTTCATTTAGCGGTCTGTCTGTCTGTCTGTCTGTCCGTCCGTCTGTCCATCCGTAACATACTTCTATACAAATTAATCTCTATATTCTCCCAGGTTGTGCGTATGGGTTCCGTCGTAGAAGTCAAACAAATCGCTGAAGAAAACCGAAAAGCAGTGGTATTGAAATCATACCCTGAGAAAGGCGCTGTGATGGTGATAGACATCAAGTCACGAAGGAAAAAATCAGTAGGTTTTGTTTGGTCTTGACTGTAATTGTCAGGCGCAATCAATTGCGCGCTAATATTGCGCAATTATTTTGCCTTTGCAGAAAGTTATCCATTATCCTTTGCTCGGTTTTCGATAAAAAGTAGAATCGAATCGCCTGCTTGTCTGTTTAGATTTGCGCATTAGTAGTGTCTGCTTGCGCGCATCAATAGTGCTTTTGGTCAGAGCCGTTGTCTACTCGACTGTGCGAAGGTTGCATTAAGTCGTGAGCACGAAAAATAACACATCATAGCGAAAAATGTGCTACAGGCTTTTTATTAAAAACCATTTGAATGGAAGACAATTTGTCAGTCGCAGAAAAATCGCAATCGAATCCAGCGCTGTCGTGCACGACAAACAGACAAAGTGATTTATGCAAAGAAAATCCTTCACGTAATGGTATTTGACCACCATACTTTATTTCTAGGTCAAGGAACACGACGTAGAGAGCTCTTCTGGTTGGACAGATGCAAGTCATACTACTAACATGACGATATTGATTGGAATTGTGAAGGATAATTTGACAGAAATTAAACGAGGTGCGTAGATTGTTGTATGGGTATTAGAGTAGATGGTCCCGACTACGCACTCTACGGACGTGCCGTGACCTTGATAGTGTTCCAAGCATCTTTATTGGATACTTGGTATCTTCAACCGTTTAAGTCAGTGCATGGCTAACTCACAGATCAAACCCTTAAACAACATCTGGGCTGATTTATGTCAGGGCACGACTAACTTACAGATCGAATTGGAATTTAGCGTGAAGGTGGTAGGTGTTTTTTCGAATTGGAATTTAATATGTTAGGTTTTGCAGAGGGAGGAAAACCAAAGAACAACTGTGAGCCGAGTCCTGGAATTACAACAAATGCATGCAACTAATGCCTATGCTTTGTTCCATGATTGTTTATACTTGCGCGCTTGAATTCTGCGCGCAGCGTTCTCCACACAAGTGTCGCCCTCCTTTTGCGCGAGAATTTGCTTCTTAGGTTGCATTATCAAATTAATGAAGAAGGTTTTCTTAATTTTATTTTAGGTACCAGCGTGTCAGTTGAGAGGCTTTGGATGCTGTATTTGGCTCTTAAAGGACTATTGCGTAACATCAAGGTATTCTTTAACTGTATTTTCTATTTATTTTATTTATTCTTCGTTGGAAATATTAATGGACGACTATCACGAATATGACTTCATTGCGATTCTACGACAAATTGATTAGCTCCACTGCAAAATTTGTGATGCAAATACACCACGCTATGACGTCAACTTGTAGTTTACAAGAAAATTTACGGCACGGTTAGAATATACTATACTATATCTTTGTCTCAGGCTGCAGAAGACAGTGTGTATCATAACGACTTGATCAAGCGTGACGTCATTCCTGTACTAATCAATCTCAGCTGTAAGGGAACGTCATTTAGCAATCAGTGGCTGTTAAGAGACCTCGAGGTAAGTGAGAACCGGAATTTTTAGTCAGTTGCCTTTTGCTAGGGAGAAAAATGGGCTACTTCAACGATACGGCGGCCATCTTGGATTGCAAGGCATCCAGGGGTCAAATAAAGCTTTGTTACAGTAATGTCGTCGATTGATATAAACAACTCACCACAAGAAAATAAAACAAAAGATGAATTAAGACGGTACACGATCACCTTTACCCATAAAAGAAAGACAAACACACGAAACTTTTTATATTTTTCGTCATCTTTGTTTTGTTTTGCCCCCTGGCAAGATGGCCGCGGTATCGTCGAAGTAGTTCATTGGAGACCTAACAAACTCTAATCACATCTATGCCGAGTACAGGAATCAAACCGTAAATCCGATGTGATAGGGAAGTGCACCACTGCTTTACCAACCTTGATTACCTAATAAGCCTTGTTTTCGCAATGCCAAAGGTGTTATCGCTGAAACTTTACAAACTTGAGAAGATGAAACCAAAGGAGAAATCAGAAGCACCAATGAAAGGAAAGGGCGCAAAAGCAGCCGCGCAGGCCGCAGCGAGTAAACCATCATCAACGTCGGTAGCCAGTGGATCGTCTGCTGAATCTGGTGGGGAGGATCCTTATGAAGGCATGGATGATGTGACCAAGGCCTGCTTTGATGTAAGATCACACATGGCTATAGACCTTGGGCGTAGTGTTTTCCTTTCCAGAACAGCCGTTGTTCTCTTGAGAATGATATTCTTTGTTTAAGCTGTATCCATTATCATGTGTCTTCTCATGCGTAACCGTTAAACAAAGAAATGAGACTTCTAGGAATGACACGTGTTGTGAAATGGAAAAACATTACGCCCTAGGTAAAGAGGTGTATTCGTATTTCCACTGGTATAATGAGCCTTTGGTGCAGAGGATTGTGGTACTGAGTGTGGGGACAAGATCGAAAAGCTTCGTAACCTTGCTTCTTTAAACTCAGTTTCACAATTATATGTACAACGAGGTCGTCTTTTGAAATCCCCCCCCCCCCCCTTCCTGGTTAATTAATAACCAGTTGTTTATTGTTTTAGACCATCCACGAGGCCGTCCAAGCATCATTAGCGATACTAAGAGCTATTTATGAAAACGTCGGAAGAGACCGAGAAAAACTCCTGGAAGAAGTACAGCGATGGTATGATAATCCAAATGGATAACATCAATATAGATTATGTGCATACGAACGTGATGTATCGTGACTACCTCACAGTATCTTTCCATGACTGCGTCACCACTCTCGTAACCCAGTCGTGTCATGTGAGCTGCGATTATTCAATAATTACTCAAAAGATTTACAATTTCATTCTACTTTTCTAGCTTTGATGGAAGTGGATTTCAACCCTCAGAAGAAGTCAAAGAACTTTCAAAGAAATGGTATGATCGAGTAGTGTGGTACTTTACTTGCAATGGGTTATCTTTCTTACTTTTGACTTGTATTACACAGGGAACCCAAACCAGAAAAGACTGAAGATGTTCCTCAAGATGTAGTGATAGATGTGGGGGTGGTGAGGTACTCTGCTAAGGAACTCAAGAACTGGACTGTAGAGGCGAAACCCGAACAGGAGGACATGGCACAGAAGCTAATACCTACTATGAGTGATGCTGAGATAGCAGAGGTATCATAGAGTACGAAACAAATAATTAGACAGACTGACTTACGGAAGGACTGACGGACGGACTGATTAGACAGACGGATAGACAGACAGACAGACGGTCGGACAGACGGACTAAATGACTGACTGACGGACGGATTGTAAGTACATAGTGAGGGACAGACACACAAAAAGATAGACGAACAGATCCTGGATTAAAGCAAAGCAAGCAGACAGGAATACGAACGGACAGACAGACAAGGGTTACAAATAAAMGAGAGACAGTAAAATGATAACTCACTGATTTCACAGATATGTTGCGCTATGCGCTTCATGCCTGGTGCATTTCACACATAATTATTCTTGTTTCCTTTTCTAGACTCGACAAAAACAGGCTCGTACCAAATCAGCTGAATTACTAAAGAATGTTTTAGAAAAGGAGAGAAAACCTGGTTGTACAGATTACCTGGTTAAGGTGGGTTCAAACGAGACTCAAACACGATACCTTTAGATTTGGTACTTTAAGATTTTTAAAATCTACGACGGCGACGTCAACCGGAAGTGTAAATAATTTCTCTTCGGGGTTCTGTTCATTGGAGGTTTTATTCAAAACATGGTCAGTGAAGTCAACTCATCCAAAGGGAAGACAGATTTTAAAGACTCGAAACCCCACAGGGAAGTTATTTACACTTCCGGTTCACGTTGCCGTCCCAGATTTTTGCAAATCTTAAAGTCCCTATTGTTTACATGACCGCTCCCTCATTCAGTAGACCTTGTTTGTACTGGGCGACTTGCTGGCCGCTGTAAAATGTGCAGTATTGATAAGATGCTGTCTAATACCTGGCCAGAAGGGAAGGAAGGGATGAATGGAGATTTTATCGCGCGTCCATACAAAAGGTTTATGTCTTGTACTTGCTTTGGTCAGTCCTGTGAATAAATCATGCTGTTTATTTTGATTGCCTGTTTGTCTGTCCTTCCATCCTCCTGTCTCGCTGTGAATCTGTCCGTGTGTCTCTATGTCTGCGTGTCTGTCCGTCCTTCCGTCTCACTGGTTTTGTTTTTTTTTTTGTTTTTGCTTTTGTCTTTCTGTCTGTCTTTCTGTCGTTCTGTTTGTATTCGTCAGTCTATTTTGTTCTTCCCTTTCATTTGTTTGTTTTTCCCTTTTATTCGTTTGTCTTTTTTTTTTTCTTTTTTTCTTTATATTTAATCTAAAAGGTTGTTTCTTTTCTTCCCGCCAGGTTAATTTAGCTTTATCCATAATTTACGCGCGTCATCTGCTGGCCGCTATTCTGTCCGACTGGCCAGAAGAACAGGTCATTACTTCTGAACTGCTGGACAAGTGTGACGAGATCCAACTAATAGGACTTCTAGATATCATACAAAGAATGGAGAGTAAAGAAACTTTTGAAAACGTAAGATCATTGAATTTCGTACAGGGAATGTTTACGAATTTGTTGCGCAGGGTATTGTGGGATGTATTGAGGGGCACCAGCTAAATATCATACGAAGAATGGAGAGTTAGACACTTTCGAAAACGTAAGATCATGCACTCTTGGGTAGTATTTCGTAGAAGGAATGGTTACGAATTTGTTGCGCAGGGTATTGTGGGATGTATTGAGGAGCATAAGCTAAAATTTTCTCTAATCATTCACTCATAGTAATAAAATGTAAAATGGTGGCTAAACAAGGCTTTATATTGTTGTTATAGGTTGTATCAAACGTCGTTCGTCAGGGTGACACTTTACTCGTGCAGCCCTTGTCGTTAGCTGCTACTCATTGTATGGGAGAAGAGACTCTTTCCTCAGAGACCAGGGAATCTGAACACGATTACAAGAATGAAACTGTGGACTCGGTACGTGCAAGTCTATGTAATAAGACTGCAAGAATAAAGAAAATGGAAGGGCAAAAATTATATTCAAAATGGGCTTCCGGTGGGAATTATAGGCGCCATGTTAGTTGACTTAATCAAGATGGCAGACGTCTTTTTTCTTCTTCTCATGGATGCAGGACACCAATTAAAGGGCGATACCTTTTGTTGGGATTTCTGAACCATTTTTAGGACGACTCTAACCTTAATTTTCTGTTTACAGGGTAAAGTACATATAGCAGGGGCATCAACCTTGTTCGTCAAATTCGACCCAAGGTAAGAACTAAAATCAAGATACTGCCTTTTTATACTATTTTAAGTATTTGATATTGAAATCACAGCTTATTTTTTGATTTTCTTTTCAGGTGTGCTACAGAGGAGGGCTGCGATGAACTCATTTTAGCAACGTCGTTGGACTATCAACAGAACAGACACGTGTTCAGCGGACCGCAGGGTCGATGGGTGGACTTAGAACTACCAGGTATCAAGACCCATCTATTTGTTAACAGATATGGTTTAGTTTACAGGGTTCTCATGATAAACGTAAATGTATGAGCCGTGACGTGACTCACGTATTTTGACGTGACTTGGAGTTAGAGACGTGACGTGACTTAGAGACGTGACGTGGAGGGAAGATCTTGACATGAAGTTGCGTGACGTGACATTGAGGTATCTTTCTAATAAGGCTGATCATCACGTAATTTTTCATCAGGTGATACATTATATTACAAGTTCACGTCAGACAGTAGTACCAATGACTGGGGATGGAAGTTTGTCGTAACAGGAGGACAGCATGGAAGGTAGGAAGTAAATTATTGTCACTTTCTCCCAATATTATATATTGTAGCTGTGGGGACTGGTAGTGCTCTACATATTATTTAGCCACCTCTCTACGCATTCTCTGATTGGTCGAGAACTGTGCTTTATTAGAGAACAGAGGACGGTGCTAACGCCATGCAGCCTGCTTTACAAAGAAGGTTTAAAGAAAGCATCAAAGACTTCAACGCCTATGGCTCACTGCGCTGAGCACGATAAAGATCTTTTACTTTTACCAAGAGAATATTAAGTCACTACAGCTCTGACCAATCAGCGCGCGGAGCTAAAAATATATTAAAAAAATACTTTCATGGTTAGAGACCCATGTTTCGGAGATGTGCTCTCTTACTTAATATTCCTTTGCTTTTACTTAAGCAAGTGGGGAGAGATAGGCTTCATTCTTGCTGATTCTTGTTGTTTGGATCCTCAGGTTCAAGACAGGATTCTCGGTATTAAATGCTCTACTTTCGCTGGACAATCATATCGCAAGGTAAACTACCTTCAGTTTCGTCGTGTCCAAGTCCACGTTGTGGTTTTAATGGGGAGTGGGGATTTCTTGGTGTGTTTTATCTTGTGTGATAGTTTTAATATTATGTGCGGGGATTTCTATACTGTGATATATAGTGTATAATAATGTTAATATTTTGTCTTCTCATGTTAGAACTCTTCCAGTTCAGCTGCTGTGGGGATGGCTAGTATCTGTAGCTTGTTGTCAGGTTGGACAGCAACGGCTCATGGCAACTGGTCTCTTGCTGAGATTATTATTAGTTGTTTCTGGGTAAGACTGAAAGAACAATGATTATAAAATGCGCGCCGTCCATTGTGAAACAAAATTTCGTAAGATTTTTAACAGGTTTTTGTATCGTGACACGATAGCTTTACCTGTTTTCCCCTCTCTCCTCCCATCCCTCTCCTCCCATCCATCTCCCCCATCCCTCTCCTCCCATTCCTCTCCTCCCATCCCTCTCCTCCCATCCCTCTCCTCCCGTCCCTCTCCTCCCATCCCTCTCCTCCCATCCCTCTCCTCCCATCCCTCTCCTCCCATCCCTCTCCTCCATCCCTCTCCTCCCATCCCTCTTTCCCAAAAGGACGCAACGATATCGCACACAGTCACAAGACTGCCACTGCGCATTCTTCTCTTCCTTTTCCCCCCGCTAATGAGTCGTCTTTCGCCGCTGAGAGTCCTGCGGACGTCACATGTAAATTGAGTTCATTTGATGTGTTGTTCTATCCCTTGCCACGAGGATTTTCCCCGGCTTTTTCGGTTTTCCTCCCTCCATAAAAATCAAAATGTGAGTTGAGATTTGTGTGTATTGAATATTTGAATGTAGTATGGAGTATGTATGGAGGATACACCGCCCCACAAGCTTATAGCTTTAAAGCCTACCCTGTATAAATAAATTTTTTCATTAATTATTTCATTCTTTGGTTCGCGAAGTGAGAAATTTATCCGGCGAAAATGTGTGCAATCTTTTGTATACTCTTCTTTTTCCTTTCCTTCTTCTCGCGTTTTCTTAGTTATTCTCCTGGTTCATCTAACAGGATCATTCGTTTTTTGTTATGTCCTCCAGGCAAGCTGTAGATAGCAATGGATCTCAGACGGACCCACTGGACGCTGCACAAAGACCCGACCTTAGGCTGCTGAAGCCACTATGGGCCTTGTACACCAAGATGTTGGAGAAAGAAGGCAGTAAGTTGAACTAAGCTGTAAGCATTTCTTATCATTTAAAAATCAATGGTGGTATACTGTGGACCATTTGCCTCAACTCTGGGGTCTCTAGTTTGATTCCTGGACTCACCATCTTCCCTTGATTGAATGGCTTTTTCTCTGGGATCTCCGGGATCTCCGGTTTTCCTTCCTCCGTAAAACCTAAAAAATTCAATTCCAATTCGATCTGTGAGTCGCTTTGATCATCCCAGAGGTTGTTAAAGGGTAGCGATAAATCTGCAGGTTAATCTTTACACGTGACTGTGTACTTAACACAAGTCTTAACCATTTTACTCTACAGGTTCCGGTGCAGCACCAACTCTTGTATCTCCGGTATTACGCGGACTGACAGAGCTTTTCTTAGTGGTAGAGAATCTAGCTCAAGTGAGTACTACACCTAGACAACTACTAAAAGTGCAGGTTTTGCATCTCCTTGGATCTTTTTGCTCCTTGGGCTTCCTGTGGTGAGGACAAAAAAGTCGTACTAGTTCTTCTCTGCCATAAGATTTAACACAGGGATTCCAATGGAGAATATATGGGGTAGCCTGCGGAGGAGGCTACATTGGTTTTTAGTTTGTAGTTTGTTGTTTGTACGATTTCTCCCTGTAAAATCCCTAGTTTGCGCATGTTTTCTATCTGTTCTAAGGTGATGTTTTGGTAATTGTAGGACTGGGGTATGGCTGAAGATCTTGTCGTGGGATTCACGACCAATGAAAGTCTAAAGAGGTGCTTCTCACAGGTACGTGGATTGAAACGATACTTCTTGATCTGTTGATCATCAGCAGCATCGTCACCATCATCAACTTCATAATCATCACCACCACTTCATCATCAGCAACAACACTATTATCAACTTCATCATTATCAACATCAACACCACAAGCAGCTGTGTCATTACCACTATCATCAACATCATCACTACTACCACTATCAACTTCATCATCATCATAACCATCATCAAGATCACCATCACCATCACCATCACCACCATTATCATTGTCATCATAATCATTGTCACCACCATCACCGTCATTGCCATCATCATCATCATCACTGTTACTATCTACTTCACCATAATAACCGTGCCGCACCACCTACGTTGACATCACCGCCGTTAGTCATTTAGTTTCCAGTTTGTTGACAATCTTTCTAATCTCTTCCTTCAAGGCTGTACAAAAGATCGGGGCCATAGGTATTGCTATTGGTTTGCCTAATAAGGCGTCTGATGCTCTTATACAAGCAGCACTCCACACCCCACCAAAGCCTCCGACAGAAACAAAGGTAAAGTAGTATTGGCTCAATTGGGCTACCTGTGGATTAGTGTACTAAAATTTCGTACTAATTTCTGTTATATTTTTTTAGGAGGATGGTGCCCCTGTCGCTAAGTCAGAGTAAGTAGATTCTGCACAATAAACTACTGCTACTTCCATCTTTTCATTTCCTTCCCCTCCTTTTCAGGGGGCGCTGTTGCTTTTCCATTTTATCTTTTACTCCCTTCATTTTTACTCTTTTTTACTGAGAGGCCGAATTCCAATGCAGATTTTATAATGAACTAACTTCAAGAAATATTTCTCATATCCTTTTCCCCTTTTTGTTTTCCCTTTTCTAGTGTCATTTTCATTCCTAGTATCATTTTCTTTTTCCTTTTACAGTGATTTTGATTTACCTTTTATGATACACCTCGAAGACGAGGAAAACGATGATACAACTGCCGAAGAAGACACGACCGATGACGAAAGCTCCGGAAGCGTCTGGTAAACCCATGCTTGCTTGCCTCGGAAAATGTTCGAAAAATGCTTGGAAACTGTTAAACGGTTTGCCGTAAAATACCTAGAGAATTATCCAATGTAGATTTATATCAAGAAATGCTGAATCCCGAAGAAGAGCATTGAATTATGGACAATTGTGATTTCTGCGCGGTCCTGACTGCTGAATGTGGCTGATGTCACGCAAGGCGTTTCCTGCCCATTCTAATGTTAAGTACTGCTGGTTCTAGTTACAGGTCACGCAACATTGTCTGGCCGTACGTTGCGCACTAATGACGCATCTTACCGCGAAAAGGGGATAGTGACTTGCTAATAGTATTGCTTGTGCAAATTTTATTGAAGAAAAAAAAGCAATAAAGGTTTAGTTGTTCAATGTAATAACAAAACGTTACACCAATTGAATTAATGTTCTTTGCAGACTTTTGGGACCTTGTTGACAAAAATGTGCGCTCGATATATTGTCGACCAGCGAGTTACTCCTAGTAATCAAAGGCCCTTAGGCGAACTCGTGGATACTTGTTGCACTTTTCGAAGATTGGTCTTCCTGTGCCCTCTAAGCTTGTTAACATTCTTAAACGGATTCCAAATATTTCGCTCGATTTAGTATTTTGAATGCTCAATTTATCTAGTAAGATGAGTAATCGTCCTTATTATTTTCCTTTTAGCTTCTAGTTCTTCGCTAGTTTGTTGAGTTTGGAATTGAAAATTGTCTGAACTTCAATTAATACGAAAGACGACTTCGACTACGACTTCGCGATAGAGTCAACTGAGTCAAG